TGTTGGCCGGACTGGTCTCGAACTCCTGGCCTCAAGCGATTCTCCTGCCTCTGCCTCCCCAAGTGCTGGGATTACAGACATGCGCCACCATGCCCAACTCATTTTGTATTTCTAGTAGAGATAGTTGATCTGGCTGGTCCATGTTGGTCAGGCTGGTCGCGGAGTCCCAACCACAGGTGATTGGCCAGGCTGGTCTTGAACTCCTTACCTCAAGTGAGCCCCTTGCCTCGGCCTCCCAGAGTGAGGCCACTGTGCCCAGCCCAAAATATTACTTTTTTTTTTTTTTTTTTTTGAGACACAGTTTCCCTCTTGTTGCTCAGGCTGGAGGGCAGTGGTGTGATCTCGGCTCACTGCAAACTCCACCTCCCAGGTTCAAGCGATTCTCCTGCCTCAGCCTCCTGAGTAGCTGGGACTACAGGAGCCCACCACTAGGCCCAGCTAATTTTTGTATTTTTAGTAGAGACAAGGTTTCACCGTGTTGTCCAGGATGGTCTCAAACTCCTAACCTCAGGTGATCTGCCCGCCTTGGCCTCCCAACCTGCTGGGATTACAGGTGGGAGCCACCACACCTGGCCCTTTGTACAGTGTCTTTTGAAGAGCAAACGTTTTAAATTTTTGTGAAGTCCAATGTATTAATTTTTTTCTTTCCTTGTTCATGCTTTTTATGTTTTTCTCTAAGAAATCTCTAAGGGTCACAACAATTTTCTCCCAAAGTTTTCCATGTCTTGCCTTTAGGCATCTGATCCATTTCAAGTTCACTTTTGTTTTGTCGTGAGTGGGTCCAGGTGCAGGTTTTGCGTGTCTCTCTAGTTACCCCAGAACCCCTTTTTGAAAAGACTGTCCTTTCCCTATTGAAATCCTATGACACCTTTGTCAAAGATCAACTGATCGTGTGTGTGTGTGTGTGTGTGTGTGTGTGTATCTGTCTGTCTGTTTCTGGATTCTTTATTCTGTTCTATTAATCTTTTTATCATTCTTTCACCAATCCAACATTATCTTGCTAACTAGAGCTTTATAGAAGAATCTTAAAATCAGATGGTCTGAGTCTTCGATGTTCTACAAAATTATTTTGGCTACTCTAGGCGCTTTAGCTCCCCATTTACATTTTAGAACTTGCTTGTCCGTTTCTGGGGAAGAAATGCCTTCTGAGATGTGACGGAAATGACAGTGAGTCCACAGATCAGTGTGAGGAGAACTGAGGCCTTAGTTATCAAATCTTCTGCTTCGTGGACATGGCAAACCTCTCCAGTACCCGTTTGGTTCAGTTTGGTTTCAGTTAGAGTCTTGCTCTATTACCCTGGCTGGAGTGCAGCAGCACAGTCTCGGCTCTTGGCTCACTGCAACCTCCGCCTCCTGGGTTCAAGTGATTCTTATGCCTCAGTCTCCCAAGTAGCTTCGACCGCAGGCACATGCCACCATGCCCAGCTAATTTTTTTTTTTTTTTTATTAGCGATGGGGTTTTGCCATGTTGGCCAGGCTTCCTTTCTCTATGGATAGCGTCTTATCCTGTGAATAAGTTTTTATTTGAATATTCAAGAAGTACTTTCTTCTTGGACTAGAATAATACCTTATATATTTATCTATCCCCAGTTTTTCAATTATCTTTCCCAAGCAACCTGTTACTGTTTCATAAATGTCTTTCCAGATAGATTTCGTGCATACATATGCATCATTCTCAGGTGCTTGTCTCTCCACTTAAAAATCGCCAGCGGCAGCTTAGTGTGTCCCACTCTGCACCTCGGTTTTTCTTGTGTCTTAGAGTTATTCCACGTCGGAACGCACGGAAGTCAGTTATTCCACGTGGGAACGCACGGAAGTCAGTTATTCCACGTCGGAAGGCACGGAAGTCAGTTATTCCACGTGGGAACGCACGGAAGTCAGTTATTCCACGTCGGAACGCACGGAAGTCAGTTATTCCACGTGGGAACGCACGGAAGTCAGTTATTCCACGTGGGAACGCACGGAAGTCAGTTATTCCACGTGGGAACGCACGGAAGTCAGTTATTCCACGTCGGAACGCACGGAAGTCAGTTATTCCACGTCGGAACGCACGGAAGTCAGTTATTCCACGTCGGAACGCACGGAAGTCAGTTATTCCACGTCGGAACGCACGGAAGTCAGTTATTCCACGTCGGAACGCACGGAAGTCACCTTTGTTCCTTTCGGTTCTCTCCAAACTGTGTTCTAAGTGATGCCCATGCCGTAACTCAGTCATCCTCATCGGTCTGCAGTGAGGCCCTTTCCTGTCGGTTCTCTCCAGACTGTGTTCTAAGTGATGCCCATGCCGTAACTCAGTCATCCTCATCGGTCTGCAGTGAGGCCCTTTCCTGTCGGTTCTCTCCAGACTGTGTTCTAAGTGATGCCCATGCCGTAACTCAGTCATCCTCATCGGTCTGCAGTGAGGCCCTTTCCTGTCGGTTCTCTCCAGACTGTGTTCTAAGTGATGCCCATGCCGTAACTCAGTCATCCTCATCGGTCTGCAGTGAGGCCCTTTTCTGTCGGTTCTCTCCAGACTGTGTTCTAAGTGATGCCCATGCCGTAACTCAGTCATCCTCATCGGTCTGCAGTGAGGCCCTTTCCTGTCGGTTCTCTCCAGACTGTGTTCTAAGTGATGCCCATGCTGTAACTCAGTCATCCTCATCGGTCTGCAGTGAGGCATTTTCCTGTCGGTTCTCTCCAGACTGTGTTCTAAATGATACCCATGCTGTAACTCAGTCATCCTCATCGTTCTGCAGTGAGGCCCTTTTCTATCGGTTCTCTCCAGACTGTGTTCTAAGTGATGCCCATGCCGTAACTCAGTCATCCTCATCAGTCTGCAGTGAGGCCCTTTTCTGTCTGTTCTCTCCAGACTGTGTTCTAAGTGATACCCATGCTGTAACTCAGTCATCCTCATCAGTCTGCAGTGAGGCCCTTTCCTGGTTTTTGTCTGTTTCTGATCTCATCAGTGTATCCATAAATATCCACACACACTAAAAACAGATACTGGATGTCTGGGCATGCCTGTAATTCCTGCACTTTGGGAAGCTGAGGCTGGTGGATCACTTGAGGTCAGGAGTTTGAGACCACCCTGGCCAAGAGAGCAAAACCCTGTCTCTACTAAAAACACAGAAAAGAATTAGATGGGCGTGGTGGTGCATGCCTGTGGTCCTAGCTACTGGGGAGGCTGAGGCATGAGAATCACTTAAACCCAGGAGGCAGAGGTTGCAGTGAGCTGAGATTGTGCCACTGCACTCCAGCCTGGTTGACAGAGCCAGACTCTCAAAAAAGAAAAGATTGGCTAGATGGCTGGATGCAGTGGCTCACACCTATAATCCCAGTACTTTGGGAGGCCAAGGCGGGTGGATCACTTGAGGTCAGGAATGTGAGACCAGCCTGGCCAACATAGTGAAACCCCTTCACTACGAAAAATACAAAAATTAGCTGTGCATGGTGGCGCACACCTCAAATCCCAGCTACTTGGGTGACTGAGGCTGCAGTGAGCCAAGCTCTTGCCATTGCACTCAAGCCTGGGTGACAGAGTGAGACACTGTCTCAAAAAAAAAGAGAGGGAGAGAGAGAGGAAGCAATATTTAAAGTACAGCAGAACATCTCAAAATAAAACAAAAACATGCCTCACACACAAAAATTCAAATCCTCATGCTGAGGTAGGAGAATTGCTTGAACCCAGGAGGCAGAGGTTGCAGTGAGCCAAGATGGTGCTACTGCACTCCAGCAAATAGAGGATTTGAATCTGTATTTTAGGTCTGATTATCTGATATCTGTATTTTAGAGCTTGATGTTAATGACCGGTGTCTCATCTCGGCCTGCTGAGGGGAAGGACAATAGAATTTGAAGTGGGCCCACTGGTACTCCCCCGGCCAGGCGGTTTCCTGCAGACCTTGGGCTTGAATGTTAAATGTTCTAAGTCTCAGTGGCCACATCTGTAAAGCTGGAATATTTCCTTTCTAGGATTATTGTCATGATTAAAGAAAATGGGCAGATGAAAACCCCAGCCCAATGTCTGAGCCATGTGTGACTTTCCTTCCCACCCCCCGTAATCATAGTATCAAAGAGTTGTCAACTTGGACTTTTGATGAGTAATAGTTGTATTGATCTATTGGAAAATAATTGTCAAGATTTGGCTGTTGGGTACAAAAATACAGGGAGGGAGAAGGAATGAGGCCCAGTATTCGACAGCACGTCATAGTGGCTGCAGTTAACGGTAAGTCAGTGTATTTTTGAATAGCTAAAGGAGAAGATTTGAACTGTTCTCAACACAAAGAAGGGTAATGTTTGACGTGATAGTTGCCCATTTCCCCAGATTGAAGCATGCTGAATGGTTGTATCAAAATATCACATGTACCTCTCAAATATGTGCCAATCTTAAACATTTTAAATAGAAAAAATTTTTAAAGACTTGGCTACTATTAAAAGAGTCAGTTTCCTGCTGGATACAGTGGCTCATGCCTGTAAACCCAGCACTTTGCTAGGCCAACGCAGGCCCGAGCTCAGGAGCTGGAGACCAGCCTGGTCACCATGGTGAAACCCCGTCTCTACTAAAAATACAAAAAATTAGCTGGGCATGGTGGCGCATGCCTGTAATCCCAGCTACTCGGGAGGCTAAGGTAGGAGAATTGCCTGAACCCAGGAGGTGGAGGTTGTGGTGAGCCAGGATCGCACCATTGCACTCTAGCCTGGGTAACGAGAGCAAACTCCGTCTCAAAAAAAAAAAAAAAAAAAAAAATTAGCCAGGTAGGGTGGCCCAGCTACTCCGGAGGCTGAGGCATGAGAATTGCTTGAACCCAGGAGGCAGAGATTGCAGTAATCTCTGATGGCACCACTGCACTCCAGTCTGGGTTACAGAGTGAGACTGTCTCAAAAAAAAAAAAGAGTTGGCTTCCTAATTAATTTCTCTGTGCATCGAGTTCTACTTGGTGAGCTTCCTCGTGTGGGACACAGCTCTGTACATCAGTTCTCTGATGCCTCACATGTAACTGGCTCTGTCCCCTGCATTTCTGCAGAGAATGCCAGCATCAAGCCAAGTCCATCGACTGTGAGATTGAGGGCTATAAGAAATCAATCATGAAGGAGGAAGAAAAGAACGAGAAGCTGGCGAGCATCCTGAACCGGACAGAGACGGAAGCCAGCCTCCTGCAGAAGCTTATCACCCAGTGCCTGACCAAGCAGGTGGCCCTGCAGAGTGAGTTCAACACCTACAGGCTGGCCCTGCAGGACACAGAGGATACCCTCAGCCAGAATCAGCTGGTGAGTCCGGGCCCGCCCCGCAGGTCACGCCTGGCCCGCAGCACTGCCTCTTCAGGGACACCCACTCTGTGGCTCCTTCTCCCCAGGAACAAATGATCCTCACTGACAAGCTGAAGGCCATCCGCCAAGCCAGCCAGGATGAGCTGGAGCTCAGGAGGAAGATGGACGCCGCCATCCGGGAGAAGCTGCAGGAACACATGACCTCCAACAAGATCACCAAATACTTCAACCAGCTCATCCTGAAGCTTCAGAAGGAGAAGACCAATATGGTAGGTCCCCGCCCAAGGGAGGGGCTGCGCCAAGCCCCCTCCAGCCTGGGCATGTGAGGGCAAAGGCATCCTGGGGGCGGAGGGGGCAGAGTCAATGTGAGCAGAGGGCCCTCGTGTGTCCCCTCCTTTCCATGGTGTTCTGGTTGTAACAGTGATACATTTTTACCGCTGGTGTGGTAGCTCATGCTTGTAATCCCAGCATTTTGGGAGGCCAAGCAGGTTGATTACCTGAGGTCAGGAGTTTGAGACTATCCTGGCCAACATGTATTTTGTATTCTCTACTAAAAATACAAAAAATTAGCTGGGTGTGGTGGCACATGCCTGTAATCCCAGCTACTCAGGAGGCTGAGGCAGGAAAATCGCTTGAACCTAGGAGATGGAGGTTGCAGTGAGCCGAGATCACTCCATTGCACTTCAGCCTGGGTGACAGAGCGAGACTCTGTCTCAAAAAAATAAAAAAGAAAAGAAAAGAAAAAACCTAGAAATATAGAAAGTCATAGGAAGAAAATGAGACAGTTCCAGTGAGACAGCTCTAGGCCCACCATCCAGAGACAACTTTTCTTAATTTGGTAAATTTCCTTCTGGAAATTTTTAATACAGAAACACACTTGCACCCAACCAGAAACACACACAGTCATTCTCACACAGGCAAACACATTCGCACACATGAACATGCTTGCAATTACACATCCACCATGCACACACATGCAAACGTACACTCAGACTCCTACAAACACACACACACACCTTAAGCACATACCTTAAGCAACACTAGACTCACAACAAATCAGTTCTCAGGCCCATTTTCTTTCTATTATTTATTTATTTAATTTTTGCGTGATAGGGTCTCACTCTGTCGCCCAGGCTGGAGTGCTGTGGCTCGATCACAGCTCACTGCAATCTCAAAGCTCCTGGGTTCAAGTGGCCCTGCCACCTTGGCCTCCCAAAGGTGGCACTGAGCCACTGTGCCCAGCCCCCAGGCCCATCTGCATCCATTTGTAATTCCTTTTACTGAACTAGGACACAGAGAGAATGGGAGTCAGTGAATCTTTGCTACGTGTATAGTTTTGCATTTTGCTATCTTGACCATATTCAGCATAACATTTCCTCATGCCAACAAACACTCTTCTTCAAAAACCTAAATTTTCGTTCCACATAACATCTTATCCTACAAACGTACTTATTTTGTTTAATAAATCTCTTGTTAGGCACTTCAGGCTGTTTCTAGTTTTTGTTTTATCTTATTTTTTTTTAATTTTTTTATTTTTGAGACAGAGTTTCACTGCTGTCACCCAGGCTGGAGTGCAGTGGCATGATCTTGGCTCGCGGCAACCTCCGCCTCCCAGGTTCAAGTGATTCTCCTGCCTCAGCCTCCCAAGTAGATGGGATTACAGGCTCCCACCACCACACTGGCTAATTTTTCATATTTTTAATACAGACGAGGTTTCACCATGTTGGCCAGGCTGGTCTCGAACTCCTGACCTCAAGTGATCCACCCGCCTGAGCCTCCCAAAGTGCTGGGATTACAGGCATGAGCCACTGCCTGGCCAGCCATCCCTGAAGGCTGAGTTCCCTGGGGGGCCGTGGAGTGTGACTTTGACGTCCATGGCAGTGGACCCCCGATTGTGAGCTCACTCTTGCTTCCCCTGGGATGTTGCTTTATCCTTTATCACTGTGGTAGGGGGTGGAAGGGACTTGTGTCCTTAGAAAAACAATTCCTTACTTGATGGTTTTTTCCTTGCTTCAGGCAGGCCTCTTTGGAGGCTGCCACAGGCTGTGGCATGTCCAGGGCAATCCCAGCAGCGGGGCCTGCCCGTGGGTCCCCATTTGAATCACAGAGGAAGGTGACAGATTCCAGACTCCCAAGCTTTTTTGCAATGCCATTTTTGCCCTCCTGAGGGGTGGGAGAGGAGGCCAGACAGAGCTGAAGGGTGTGGTGGGTGTGAAGTAGCCTGTCCAGCCTGCTGCTACACAACCAAGTCCAGTTCCCAGGTGCCTGGTCCCCAAACCCCCAGGGCCCCAGACGAGCCCCTTCTGGGCAGCCGAATAGGTCATACCTGTACTGCTGACAGTGTCCAGAAGAGGGCAGCAAAGAGTCTTGAACCCATTAAGACAATTTTCCAACAGATGCCAGTCCAGCTCTTGAAAAGGGTACCCCACATTTCTGTAAGTGCTCAAAACCCGATGGGCTGATAGAAGGTGGAAAGGGAGGCATGTCCAACTCGTGAAAAAGGTACCCCTAGGCTGGGCGCGGTGGCTCACACCTGTAATCCCAGCACTTTGGGAGGCCAAGGCAGGCGGACCACGAGGTCGAGAGATCGAGACCATCCTGGTCAACATGGTGAAACCCCATCTCTACTAAAAATACAAAAAATTAGCTGGGCATGGTGGTGCATGCCTGTAATCCCAGCTACTCAGGAGGCTGAGACAGGAGAATTGCCTGAACCCAGGAGGCAGAGGTTGAGGTGAGCCGAGATTGCGCCATTGCACTCCAGCCTGGGTAACAAGAGTGAAACTCCATCTCAAAAAAAAAAAAAAAAGAAAGAAAAAGAAAAAAGTACCCCTATTTTTTAACTGGTTAAAGCCCCATGGGTGGATAGAAGGTGAGGTGGGGGGGCATGTGTAGCTCTTGAAAAGGGTACCCCCCTGTTTTTTTTTAACTGTTCAAAGTCCCATGGACTGATAGAAGATAGGGTCAGGGGGCATATCTGGGAGGAAGAGCAAAGTGTGGATGGACGGGACCACCCGTAAGGCGCTGGGGTCACCATGGGGTTCAAGCAGTTAATCCAGGGCAGGTGCAGATGCCTGTGGGGAGCCCAGGGTGAGCTCCAGGAGTGGGGCAGGGGAGGCGGGCCTGGCTGTGATGGGGAGGGGCTGAAGGCGACTTGGGAGCCACAGCGTCTGCAGAGCAGTTGGGGAAGGGGGAGGCAGGGAGCCCTTGCGGGGCTCAGATCTCAGGGTGACCTCGGCAAAGGAGGAGGCTGCAGGCTGACATTGCCACGAAACTCCAGATGCTGGGAGCTTCCGCTCCAGGTGGGCAGGGTCTGGGTTCCACAACCTGGGGACGTTAGGTTTCCTGAGAAGTCGCCTGTGGTAGCCGGTGAGAGACATGGAGCCCTCAGCAGGGGCAGGAGGAGAGGCTCAGACAGCCCTAAGGAGGCTGGGGTAGGCAGGAGCCATGGTCTGAGAGAGACAAGGCCTTGTGTGGCAGGAACTGATGGGCAGGGGTGGGCAGGGCAGACATGCGGCCTGAGACCACCTGTCAGAGCCACGCCCTGGGGAAGAGGACCTTGTCCCAGTGGTGACAGCATCTTCCTGTTCCCAGAACGGCTCTGGCCACACCACTGCAGCTGTAAGTGCCTCTGCCCCACTCCTGATTCTCACAAACAGCCTCTCGATAAACCCCCATTGCTAGAAGGGATCTGAAGGAATCTTTCTAATGCCTGCAAAGAGCCCACAGAGGAGGCCAGCACGGGTGGCTAAGACCCACAGGACAGCAGGAGGGGTTGGAGCTCATGGAGGAACCAGTTTCTAACAATTGCTTCTTGCTGCATAAACTGTGCTACAAATGTAACAGAGTATATCACAGCCATTAAAACTTGCAGGACTCAGGATCATAAGACGCAAGTCATCAGATTAAAAAGCAGGCTAGCACCCAGTGCTAGAGTGTAGGGTGTGATCTATTATTGGTTTGGAGAGTAACATAGAAAGGACTGGAAGGAAAGATGGATTCCAGATGGGAATGGTGGCTATCTCATGTCAGAATTGCAGGTGATTGAATGTGTTCTCCTTTGTCCTGGCCTGCATTTTCACATTTCCTCACAATGCTGCTACTATTTGTTTAATAAGTGTATTAGTCTGTGAGAACAGACTATTAATACACTTGATAAAGGGACGAGGTGTAATTGACTCATAGTTCCGCATGGCTGGGGAGGACTCAGGAAACTTAGGATCATGGCAGGAGGGGAAGCGGGCGCTGTCTTCACAAGGCAGCAGGAGAGCGTGTGTGAAGGAGGAACTGACAAACACACGCCATTAACTCACGATCACATAAGAACTCACTGTCTCGAGAACAGCATGGAGGTAACAGCCCCCATGACCCAGTCACCTCCCACCGGGTCCCTCCCTTGACACATGGGATTGTGGGGATACAATTCAGGATGAGAGGTGGATGGGGCCACAGCCAAACCATATCAATAAGAAAAGCTAATACCATGATCTCTCTTTTCTGTAAAAAGCCAACATCTGGGTTCCAACAAGTAGGTCCTTCACTGGGTCCTCGAGATGGCGGGAAACCGAACCTACTGTTCTCCTGTGTGTTTCGAATATCTCCAGAGGACTGACCCAACCGTCAGGGGACAGTGAACCAGCAAACTCATCCCGGGCCTCTTGGGGGGGGCCAATATTCACAGGTGTTTCCTTTCACAAATTCAGATGACACATCTTTCCAAAATCGACGGCGACATTGCTCAGACCACGCTGGATATCACCCGTAGCAGCAGCAGGCTGGACGCACACCAGAAGACGCTGCTGGAGCTGGACCAGGAGGTGAAGAAGGTCAAAGAGCTCATCACCAACAGCCAGAGCGAGATCTCCCGGCGCACGATCCTGATCGAGAGGAAGCAGGGGGTCATCAACTTCCTCAACAAGCAGCTGGAGCGGTTGGTCTCCGAGCTGGGGGTGAGGTCCCAGTCAGGGAGATGCGGTCCCAGGCAGGGAGATGTGGTCCCTGGCTGACTGTCGTGCCCGGCAGGGCAGAAACCCCTCAGGGCTGCACACAGTCAGACAGGAACTCACAGAAGGTGCATAATAGCCTCTTTCCCCACCCACTTTACAGACAAAACAGCACGTGTGCCAAGCGCTCTAAGTCACATTTTCCTGTACAGGGCCAGAGAGTAAAGATTTCAGGCTTTGCGGCCAGTTGGCTTCTCTGGCAGTGACACGGCTCTTCCTCCATAGTGAGAAGGACCGGGAGCAAAATGTAAAGAAATGGGCACAGCCGTGTCCAATCAGGTGTTATTCAGGCCACCGAAGTCTGAATTCCAAATCATTTTCACCCGGCACAAAATATTCTGCTGCTCTAAGAGAGGTGGCCGAATGTGTTTGAGGCCCGATGCCGTATACGTCTTTGGGTCCCTGTAACCTGAGGACCCACCACAGGCCTTAAGACACAGAATAGGGCCAGGCGCAGTGGCTCACTCCTGTAATCCCAGCACTTTGGGAGGCCAAGGTGGGAGGATTGCTTGAGCCCAGGATTTTGATACCAGCCTGGGCAACATAGGGAGACCTCATTGCTACAAAAGAAATTTTAAAATTAGCTGGATGTGGTGATACCCACCTGAAGTCTCAGCTACTCAGGAAGCTGAGGTGGGAGGATCACTGAGCTCCAAAGGTCAAGGCTACAGTGAGTTGTGATCACACTGCTGCACTCCAGGATGAACAGCAGTGAGACTCTGTCTCCAAAAAAAATGTTTTAAATCCCATCTGGAGTAGGATGAGCATCTGGGCATGAGCTCTTAACTGGGCCCCAAACATGGGAGAGCCCGTTTTTCCTCTGAAAGCCGCAAAACGGAATGCATGCTAAGGGAGTGAAGCCCCAAGCCCTGAAGTCTCTGCTATTAAGAGGCAGCTTGCGGCCAGGCGTGGTGGTGGTGGCTCACGCCTGTAATCCCAGCACTTTGGGAGGCCTAGGCGGGCGGATCACAAGGTCAGGAGTTTGAGACCAGCCTGGCCAATATGGTGAAACCCTGTCTGTACTAAAAATTCAAAAATTAGTTGGACACGGTGGTGCGCGCCTATAGTCCCAGCTACTTGGGAGGCTGAGGCAGAAGGATCACTTGAAGCCAGGAGGTGAAGGTTTCAGTGAGCCAAGATTGTGCCACTGCACTCCAGCCTGGGTGACAGAGTGAGACTCTGTCTCAAAAAAAAAAAAGGCAACTCTCAAAGCCCCTTTGGGTTTCTGAGGCCCACCCACCCTGCGGGTGCACCAACTGTGGGGAGGCTGGAGGGGGCTGCAGAGTCCCTTGGCCATGTTTCTACAGTGGGGTTTGTGACAGGAGAGCTAACATGAGCCCCTCAGAGTAAATGCCCCTCAGCTGTCGTAGAGTTTCATGACCTCGGGGGCCCAGGCCCTCTGCAGCCCACCCACAAAGAAGACCTCTGAGTCTAAGAAGGCTAATTTTACTTTTTTTTTTTTTTTTTCTTTGAGAAAGAGTCTTGCTCTTTCACCAGGCACCAGGCTGTAGTGCAGTGGTACAATCTCAGCTCACTGGCTCACTGCCACCTCCGCCTCCCAACTTCAAGCAATTCTCCTGCCTCAGCCTCCTGAGTAGCTGGGACTACAGTCGTGTGCCACTATGCCCAGCTAATTTTTGTATTTTAGTAGTGACAGGGGTTTCACTGTGTTGGCCAGGATGGTCTCGATCTCTTGACCTCATGATCTGCCTGCCTCGGCCTCCCATAGTGCTGGGATTATAGGTGTGAGCCACCGTGCCCTGCCTAATTTTGCTTTTTGATGACTATCCCGCCTAGGGGGAAGAAGTGGGACCCCTGGAGCTGGAAATCAAAAGGCTGAGCAAGCTGATCGAGGAACACAACGCCAAGGTGGTCCAGGCCCAGGTGACCTGGCTGCGCCTGCAGCAGGAGATAGTCAAGGTGACGCATGAGCGCGAGGAGCAGCTGGCCTCCCTGGACATATCCAAGAAGGAGCTCCACATCATGGAGCAGAAGAAACTACGAGTAGAAAGTAAGAACCACCGCGCCCACCCAGCCCTGCTGGGATGCTCAGACAAGCTCAGGGCGGGTGTGGCTCCCGGGGGCAGGGCATTCAGTGTGGGTATCTCGGGATTTTCACGCAGCCGGAAAAGCAAATAACCAACGGGCATGCTCCCTGTATTTTGTAAATGTGAACCACTGACTGTCCAGCTGCCCAGTTCGCAGTCACGATGGGAGGGTTGAGAAATTTCACGAAGTGTCTCCAAGTTCACAGACGCCAGAGCTCTCCTTGAGAGAGGAGCATGGAAGGTTATCCCTGCCAAACCAGGGCACCCAGGTGGAAACATGGGCTCAGGAAGAGCCAGGGTCCTGCCGGGCAGGCTCCTCGTGCTCTAGCGAGATGCTGTCCCCGCATCACCTCCAGCTGGGCTTAGAAAACCATTCCACAGGCTCCCTGACCCTTCTGAGGCCTAAAGGGCTGCCTAAGTGCCAGGGTGCCTAGAATAAGGGAGGCGGGCATCCAGCCTGGACTACTCTCCACACACATGGCCACATGCCGAGACATCCGGGTCCCTCTTAGTCTTCGGTCAGGGATCCATGCTGGTCAGGCCTACAGCGAGGCCCCCACGGGAGATGCTGCCCGACACATGTGTGCCCTTCTTGGAGGTCCTGCTGCCTCTCACCCTGCCCATGGGTTGCCCATACCCGTCTGTTGGCGAGTAGCAGATCCTGAAAGACCCTGTGGAGCTGTCGGCTGAATATCAGCATTCCAAGGCGAGAGCTGCTGTGAGATGGGGGAGATCATCCACGGAGAGGGCAGATGAGGGGCCCCACGTGCCAACGCCCTGGGGCAGTCAGCGTGAACTGTGGGGAGAGCAGGAGGAGCTAGAGACGTCCTGGGTGGAGTGGCCAGTGGGTGAACCAGCTGTGGCCTCTCCTGTCCTTCGCCCATCTTGACATCAAGAATAGCTGTTGTGGATGGACACAGTGGCTCACGCCTATAATCCAGCACTTTGGGAGGCCGAGGTGGGCAGATCAGGAGGTCAGGATATCAAGACCATTCTGGCCAACATGGTGAAACCCTGTCTCTTAAAAAAAAAAAAAAAAAAAAAAATCCCTGATGGTCTAGTGGTTAATGGAAAAAAAGAAAAAAAAAAAGAATAGCTGTTATTTTCTGCCCCTACCCCTGAGCCTGGCTGGGGCGGGGCAAGGGTCTAAGGGCCCCCCACCCCAGAGACTCATGGTGTCTGAGCGCCAGCCAGGTCCCCATGGCCCACAGATCCATCCCACCCATACCTGCTGACCGTCCCCACATGTGGGTCCTCTCAGTTCCCTCAGAGGACTAGGTTTGGGGAGCTTAGCAGCTAAGAAGAGACCCCCTCTCCTCCTCTCCTCTGGCCTGCAGGGATGAGCTTCAGGCAGGAGCACCAGGAAGGACAATGGGGAGGGGATGAAGGGAGCTACATACAGGGAGAGACAAACCCTGGCTCGCCTCTCAGATGCTGCTGAGTGCAGGCCAGGACCCGGACCCTCCCGGGGTCTCTCCCCAAGTCTATTCTCTGCCATAGGCAGGATCGAGCAGGAGAAGAAGGAGCAGAAGGAGATCGAGCGCCACTTGAAGGACCTGGACAACGACCTGAGGAAGCTCAACGTGCTAATGAATAAAAGCCGGTGCAACTCAGAGGAGCTGCTGCAGGACAACCGAGTGATGGAGAATGAGTTCGTGCGCTCGCTGAAGGTCAGACCGAGTCCACGTGGTCCTGGGGTCCGGGATGATGGCTGGCGGGTGTGTTCGTGGGCACGGTCCTTGCGGTGGGTGTTTTGCACCAGGATGTAACCCATTGGAGATGCTTGTGGGGGATTAGAAATCCAGCCCGCAGCCCTGCCCTCGGTGCCGGGACTTGGAGGGTACCAGTCTCACCACCCACAACCCCATGGCCCTCCCCACAGCTGTCCCCCTCCTCCATGCAGGCCTCTGAGAGGGAGACCCTCGAGATGCAGGACAAGCTGAACCAGCTCAGCGAGGAGAAGGCAACCCTCCTGAATCAACTGGTGGAAGCAGAGTGAGTCCCAGGCTCCGGCCACATATGGTCATGAAGGTCACTGCGCCTGCAGACCTCTGTCCATTCAGACCTCGTGGGAGGCCAGGGGTGGCAGCTCCAGGCGGCTCACACTCTCACACCCATATCCCAGTGCTGTGGTGCTCTGGTTTTCTTTTTATCTTTTTCTTTTCTTTTTTTTTTTTTTTTTTTTTAAACAGAGTCTTGCTCTGTCTCCCAGGCTGGAGTGCAGTGGCACGATCTCAGCTTACTGCAACCTCTGCCTCCCAGATTCAAGTGATTCTTATGCCTCAACCTCTCAAGTAGCTTGACTGGGGCAGGGCAGGGTTCTAAAGGATTATAGCTAAAGTCGAGTAGCTGGGATTATAGGCGCTTGCCACCATGCCGGGCTAATTTTTGTATTTTTAGTAGAGACAGGGTTTCACCATATTGGCCAAGTTGGTCTCAAACTCCTGACCTCAGGTGATCCGCCCACCTCGGCCTCCCAAAGTGCTGAGATTACAGGCATGAGCTGCCACACCCAGCAATCCCAGTGCCTTGGGATTCCAAGGCAGGAGAATTCTTTGAGGCCAGGAGTTCAAGACAAGACTGGGCAACATAGTAAGACACCATATCTACAAAAAATATTTTAAGTTGGCCAGGCAGGATGGCACACGCCTGTAGTCCCAGCTACTCGGGAGGCTAAGGTAGGAGGATCACTTGAGCCCAGGAGGTCAAGGTTGCAGTGAGCTATGATTATACCCCTGCTCTCCAGCCTGGGTGACAGAGCAAGACCCTGTCTCTAGAAGAAGAAGAAGACCATCTGGGCATGGGTCTAGAACCCACCCCAGTGGATCCCAGATTCCCAGAAGAGCTCTGTCTACCATCCTATGCAGCAGCTCTTGAGCCAGACCAGTTACTGCTGGAAACAGAATGGCTTTCTTTGCAATGACATTTTTAAATATCCATTCTTTTTATGGGGTCTGATTATTCAAGTAAACATACCCACCTCTAAGCATTTTAAACTATTAAGCTACATTGTGTGCAAAGTAGCCAGAGAAAATTGCATATAATTCCAACGCTCTTCACTTCCCAGAAAACCAGTGTGTAGATGTATTCCTGTCTCGTTCTGCTCTGCCTTTTATGCCAAAGGGGTTGTTTCAGAAAGTCCCGGTTGAAGCAGTTGAGAGTGTTCCTGGCCGTTTGCCTCACGCTCTGTTGCAGCTGCTTAGCTCTGCCACTGCAGCTCGAGAGTCTTGTGAGCTCACCGAAGCATCATAAGAAAACCCCTGATTTCTTACCCTGCCTCTCCTACCTCTAAAGACACCAGATTATGCTTTGGGAGAAAAAAATCCAACTGGCGAAAGAGATGCGCTCCTCCGTGGAATCCGAGATAGGCCAGCCGGAGATCCGGGCCATGAAGAGCGAGATCCACAGGATGAAGGTGAGGGAAGGAGAGCACGTGGCAAGGCCTGGTGGGTGCCCCTCCCTGGGCTCCGGAGACCTGGCCATGCCAAGGCCTCAGCTCCCCCGGGGCTCCTGTGGGAACCGCACTGGCCACATTGGCGGGTGGCAAGGGGTGAGATTCCCAGGGAACGCTGGCAAAGCGCACGTCCCCCTTGACCCTCCTTTTGCGGCATTCTTGTTCTTACTGGGCAGAAATATTACGGAACAACATAGGACACACACAAGCGTGTTCGTGTCATTTCACAAAACACGGTTTTCTTCCTACTCCATGAATCACAGAACTCTGCTTCTTTTTGTTCGTTGGTTTGGATTTTTTTTTTTTTCCTTGAGACAGAGTCTCACTCTGTCACCCAGGGTGGAGTGCAGTGGCGCCATCTCGGCTCACTGCAATCTCTGCCTCCTGGGTTCAAGCAATTCTCCTGCCTCAGCCTCCCAAGTAGCTGTGATTACAGGCATACACCAGCATACCCAGCTATTTTTTTTTGTATTTTTAGTAAAGAAAGGGTTTCACCATGTTGGTCAGGATGGTCTCAATCTCCTGACCTGTTGATCCACCTGCCTCTGCCTCCCAAAGTGCTGAGAATACAGGCTTGAGCCGCCGTGCCTGGCCCGCACTCTGGTATTTTTAAATGCTGGTTGTGACCCTCAAACTTTGTGACTAATGTATCCCACTGTGAAACAGAGTCTCATACCACAGAAGGGCTTAGAGAGCACCCCCAACTCCTCCCTCGCAGCCGTGTTTTTTCTCCAAGGTCACGGTTAGATGTCATTGCCTGTAAAAGGCGGGTAATTAAATTGCAAGTGATCATCAAGCCAAAGGTTCGGGGCCTTAAGAATAAACATGAGCAGTTCGTAAAATAAACGGGCCTCACTTTCACAATGCCATTCTAAATAAAAATTCCTCTGCTGAGTTATTTTTCAGATCAAGTGCATATGCTAATGAGATGTTTATGTTTTTGTTTTGTTTTTTTGAGACGGAGTTTCGCTCAGCTCCCTGAGTAACTGGAATTACAGGCATGCACCACCACACCCGGGTAATTTTGTGTATTTTCGGTAGAGACAGGGTTTCGCCATATTGCCCAGGCTGTTCTCAAACTCCTGAGCTCAGGCAATCCGCCTGCCTCGGCCTCCCAAAGTGCTGGGATTACAGGTGTGAGCTACCGTGCCCGGCCAGCAAGTTTGATAGAGGCAATCATGTGGCCACTGGCACATGGTGATATATTTCTGGCCCGGCATGGTGGCTCACGCCTGTAATCCCAGCAGTTTGGGAGGCCAACGTGGGCAGATCACAAGGTCAGGAGATCAATACCATCTTGACCAACATGGTGAAACCCTGTCTCTACTAAAAATGTAAAAATTAGCTGGGCTTGGTAGTGGATGTGGCACATGCCTGTAATCCCAGCTACTCATGAGGCTGAGGCAGGAGAATTGCTTGAACCTGGGAGGCTGAGGTTGCAGTGAGCCGAGATGGTGCCACTGCACTCCAGCGAGACTCTGTCTCAATCGCACTGTCGCCAGGCTGGAGTGCAGTGGCACCATCTCGGCTCACTGCAACCTCAGCCTCCCAGGTTCAAGCAATTCTCCTGCCTCAGCCTCATGAGTAGCTGGGATTACAGGCATGTGCCACCATGCCCAGCTAATTTTTTGCATTTTTAGTAAAAACGGGGTTTCACTATGTTGGCCAGGATGGTCTCGATCTCCTGATCTCGTGATCCACCCGCCTCGGCCTCCCAAAGTGCTGGGATTACAGGTGTGAGCCACGGCGCCCGGCCTTCATTCTGTTTTTAAGATAGAGTCTCTCTCTGTCATCCAGGCTGGAGCACAGTCGTGCTCACATCTCAGCTCACTGCAACTCTGCCTCCTGGGTTCAAACGGTTCTCCTGCCTCAGCCTTCTGAGTAGCTGGGACAATGTTGCCTAGGCTGGTCCCAAACTCCTAAGCTCAGGCAATTCGCCATCACACCCAGATAATTTTTTTTTTTTTTTTGAGATGGAGTCTCGCTCTGTCACCAGACTGGAGGGCAGTGGCGCCATCTTGGCTCACTGTGACCTCCGACTCCCTGGTTCAAGCAATTCTCCTGCCTCAGCCTCCCAAGTAGATAGGATTACAGGCATGCACCACCATGCCCAGCTAGTTTTTTGTATTTTTTTAGTAGAGACAGGGTTTCACCATGTTAGCCAGGATAGTCTCGATCTCCTGACCTTGTGATCCGCCCACCTCCCAAAGTGCTGGGATTACAGGTGTGGACCACCGTGCAGAGCCCACACCCAGCTAATTTTTGTATTTTTTTTTGTTGTTGTTGTTCATTGCATTTTAGGTTTTGGGGTACGTGTGAAGAACATGCAAGATTGTTGCGTAGGTTAATTTTTGTCTTTTTAATAGAGATGGTGTTTCACCACGTTAGCCAGGCTGGTCTCAAACTCCTGACCTCAAGTGATCTGCCTGCCTCGGCGCCTCCCAAAGTGCTAGGATTACAGGCATGAGCCACCACGCCTGGCTGGCCAGCTTCCCTTCCTTTTCAAAACTGTTTTGTCTATTCTGTATGTTTTGCCTTTCTATAAAAATTTGAGAATGCAGAAAAATAAAAATTAGAGAATCTGCTTGTCAGTTTCTACAAAAACTCCTGCTGAGACCAGTACTGAGATTACATTGAGTGTGTAGATCAGTCTGGGAGGAAGTGGCATCTGAACAGCACTGAGTCTTCCCATCTGCGCACCTGGGACACCTCTCCACTGACTTAGGTCTCGTTTCACTTCTGTCAGTGCCTTTAGCATTTGGCATCCAAGTCTAGCACATGTTTTGTTAGATTTATATGTAAGTATTTCATAGTTGTAGGTGCCTTTGTAAAGGAAGCTTTTCTTAAAAAAGTTCAATCTCCAATTGTTTGTTGTTAGCATATAGAAATGCAATTGATTTTTGTAAACTGACGGGTTCTGTGGCTTTGCTGCACTCGTTTGTTATCAGCCTTCAGTGTCTGGCAGTCCTCTGCGTGCAAAGAGCTGGCTCTCTTACGTGGGTTTGTGCTGCTGCTTTACCAGCAGCGGGGGCAGGGGGATCGCGTGTGTATGTACACGTGTGCGTGAAGCATGTGCTGGAGTTTGCATTTCCTCATTTGGGGGTCGCCTGTTCTTATCTTTGGCTGGCTGGTTTTCTTTTTTATTTTTATTTTTGGGACGGAGTTTCTCTCTTGTTGCCAAGGCTGGAGGGCACTGGCACATTCTTGCCTCGCTGCAACTTCCACCTCCCAGGCTCAAGCAGTTCTCCTGCCTCAGCCTCCTGTGTAGCTGGGACTACAGTTGCCCACCACTATGCCTAGCTAATTTTTGTATTTTTAGTAGAGAGGGGGTTTCATCATATTGGCCAGGCTGGTCTCAAACTCCTGACCTCAAGTGATCCACTGGTCTTGGCCTCCCAAAGTGCTGGGATTACAGGAGTGAGCCACTGTCCCTGGCCTGTTTTCTTATTTCTTTTTTTATTTGTTTGTCTCTTTTTTCTTATTTCTTAACATTATTTAGGGGTTCCTTACATATTTGGGTTATTAACCGCTATCTTTAATACCTATTTTTTTTTTTTAAGATGGGGTTTCACCATGTTGGTCAGGCTGGTCTTGAACTCCCGACCTCAGGTGATAAGCCCGCCTTGCCTCCAAAGTGCTGGGATTACATGCGTGAGCCACCGCGCCCGACCTAATACCTTTTAAAATCGTGTCTCTGGCCTGTGATTTGCCTTTGCCCTCTTCTTAGGGTGTCTTTTGCCACACGGACTTTTTAGTGCTTCTGTTGTGTGATGCGCCAGTCTTTTTCTTCATGGCTTCTGAGTTTCCTGTTTGCATAAGAAGGGCACCCCAGGCCGGGCACGGTGGCTCACGCCTGTAATCCCAACACTTTGGGAGGCCGAGGCGGGTGGATCACGAGATCAAGAGATCAAGACCATCCTGGTCAACATGGTGAAACCCCGTCTCTACTAAAAATACAAAAAATTAGCTGGGCATGGTGGTGCGTGCCTGTAATCCCAGCTACTCAGGAGGCTGAGGCAGGATAATTGCCTGAACCCAGGAGGCGGAGGTTGCGGTGAGCAGAGATCATGCCATTGCACTCCAGCCTGGGTAACTCCGTCTCAAAAAAAAAAGAAGGGCACCCCAGCCTGGAGCTGCATTCCAAGTCACTTTATGGCACTCCAGCCTTGCTCTGTCACCATGCTGGAGTGCAGTGGCACGATATCAGCTTACTGCAACCTCTGTCTCCCATATTCAAGCGATTCCCCTACCTTAACCTCCTGAGTAGCTGGGACTACAGGCATGTGCCACAAAGCCCTGCTAATTTTTTGTATTTTAGTAGAGACAGGTTTCAGCATGACCAGGATGGTCTCGATCTCCTGACCTCATGATTCGCCCACCTTGGCCTCCCAAAGTCCTGGGATTATAGGTATGAGCTACCGCGCCCAGCACTTTATGATGCATTTTAAACCTGAGTAAGCCTTGTCTCCCTTCACCCTCTTAACTTCAGGATTCTTGCCTATTTTTTGTTTTAAACCAACTTTAGGTGTAACTTTCATACGATAAAATGGGCTTATTTTAAACACAGTTTGGGCTGGGCATGGTGGCTCATGCGTGTGATCCTTGCACTTTGGGAGGCCAAAGCGAGAGGATCACTAGAGGTCAGGAGTTCAAAACCAGCCTGGCCAACATGGTGAAACCCTGTCTCTACTAAAAATACAAAAGAATTAGCCAGGCATGGTGGCAGGTGCCTGTGATCCCAGCTACTTGGGAGGCTGAGGCAGGAGAATCACTTGAACCCGGGAGGCAGAAGTTGCAGTGAACTGAGATCACACCACTGCACTCCAGCCTGGGCAACAAAGCAAGACTCAGTCTCAAACTAAATAAAGAAAGAAAGAAATGCACAGTTTGGTGGGTTCTAACAGGTGCACACATCTACATAGCCACCCACACCATCAAGACATAGGATCTTCCTATGACTCCAGAAAGTTCCTGTGCACACCAACAGCCAATCCTCAAGGTACAACCCAGTCCTCAGCCCCAGGTCCTCCACCCAAGCCAAGGTGCATTGTCACAACTAAGAAATTAACTTTCGTGCAATACTGCTAACCAGACTACAAACTCTAATCAGATTTCACCAATTTTCTCAATGGCATTTTTTTCTGCTGCAGGATCTGACCCTGGGCTGGTTGCTGTTAGTTCTCATGCCTCCGTGGTGTCCTTGGGTCTCGGCCATTTATCTGCCTTGCATTATCTGCCTGCGGATTCCGGGTTCCCACCCAGGGCTGCTGCCTCCACGTCTCTATCCTCCCGGCGGCACTGGCCTCACTGTTTCCCCCCGCCCCCGATCCCCTTGGTGTGGCTGGAGTTTGAGTGAGGCCAGCATCCCCGATGGCTCTCTCTACAGCTGCAGCTTGGGCCCACCCCAGCCCCTCTGTCCTGTCTCCCAGGTCAAGCTCGGGCAGCTGCTGAAGCAGCAGGAGAAGATGATCTGTGCCATGGAGATGGCGGTCGCCCGCAGAGAGACTGTTACCACCCAGGCTGAGGGGCAGCTCAAGATGGACAGGAAGGCGCTCACCCACACCGAATTCCACCGCAAGCAGCTCGAGCTGCGCCGGAAAATCAGAGACATCCACAAGGTGGGGAGCAGTGGAAAGGAGGCAGGGCACCTGTTTCTCTCTCTGGGGCCCAAGGAACATTTCAGGAAAGTGTCTTTCCAGGTTCAGGGTGAGGATGCAGAGGCTGTTAGAGGGGCCGTGCTCGCTTCTGCTAACCTGCGGCTAGTTGCCGTGTCGGGGGTGAGGAGGCAGAGAGACTGTGCTCAGCACTGCTAACCTGCTGCTGGGTGCTGGGTTGGGGGCGAGGATGCAGAGAGACTGTGCTCACTTCTGCTAACCTGCTGCTGGGTGCTGGGTTGGGGGCGAGGATGCAGAGAGACTGTGCTCACTTCTGCTAACCTGCTGCTGGGTGCTGGATCGGGGGTGAGGATGCAGAGAATGTGCTCAGCACTGCTAACCTGCTGCTGGGTATTGGGTCAGGGGTGAGGATGCAGAGGGGCTGTGCTCAGCACTGCTAACCTGCTGCTGCACGGGGCCTGTCTCTGGGAGTTTGCAGAATGCCTATGCCAGATAGAGCCGCTGACGGCCAGAGATGGCCCTGTTTCAGCCCTTCCCTGCATATCAGAGGTGGCATTGGGGAGGCATCAGGGAGGCACAGAGTTCTGGGGAAAAGGCTGGCCCATGCTGGGGAGCCCGAGTGGGTGCTAGGGACCAGCTGATGGGAGTGTGGTGGACTGCCCCAGAGCCTGCATCCCCGTACACCAGGCCACGTTCACTGGGCATGCAGTGCATGGCCCACACTGGGAAGGCCTGGCCGGTGCTGTCCTGTTCTCACCTCAGCTGTCACCAGCCAGGGGTCCTGTGCTCACACTTCCCAGTTTGGCCCCACGGCCCTGCTGACCCACTGTGTGACTTCGGAGCATGTGGGCCTTTCTAGACCTGCAGGGCCTCCGGTGCCAGGGGCAGGGGGGCGGGCAGAGTTAAATGTAATGGCAACCACAGCCATGGGTGGGGAGGTGGCCTTGGGGACAGCTGACAGCATGTCTCAGAGCCACACCAGTCCACTCCTGACTGGGGCATACGGTCTGATCTCCCAGAGCCTTTGGTCTACCAACCTGTGAAATGGGTCAGAGTCACCCAGGTTTCCTGGAGAGTGCTGAAGTCACCCTTGTGGAGAAAGATTAGCCAGAAACGACAAACAGGCCTGGGCTGCGCATTTGGAAGTTTCTGGAGAGAGGCAGCAGAGGGGCCTCTTCTCAGTCCTTTCCCCCCACATTGGCCACTCCTGTTGCCGTTCCTTCCTTAGCTTCCTATCCTGGCCCCTGACCACTCCTTGCCACCCTGGGCACCACCTCAGTCCCCTGCCAGGACCCCTATGCCCACCCCACATCCCTGTCTGCTCCAAGCAGCACCCAAGTCCCCAAGACCCAGGCCCTGCACTCCGCATGACACCGTCACTGCTACACAGACAGGTCCTTGTCCTCACCCCTGCCAGTCCCACCCCAAAGACCTTCCGTGTCCCCAGCCAGCCTTGAGAATCACTCCGGTCTCCTCCATCATCCCCTGGTCCATGTCAGCTGCCAAATGCTGCCTGTGGGTTTTTCTTTATTTTAATTGTGCAGCTTCCCTGAAGGTGGACCACACATCACACAGATGGCACCAGCCTCGCCCCTTGCTCCTCAGAGGCCCCGCCCTCCTGTTTCCCAGGCTCCCTAGCCCGCCTCTCGGCTCTTACGGCCTTGGCCCTGCTCTTGACACACGGCTGCTGAGCTGTGCCAATCCCCTGCCTGGGGACAGACCCACTGCCTGGGGAGCCCCAGAACCGCTCAGGACCCTGTTTCTTGGCCACACCTGCCTTAAGGGAGCAGTGTTCAGTGTGGGCTGGCCTGGGCCTGGCCTCTCCCAGGCCTCACCTCTCCCAGGCTTGGTGTCTCCTGGGCCTGGTCTCTCCCAGGCCTTGCCTCTCCCAGGCCTGGCCTCTCCTGGGCCTGGCACCTCCCGGGCCTCCCCTCTCCCAGGTCTGGCATCTCCCCGGCCTCACCTCTCCCGGGTCTGGCATCTCCCAGGCCTTGCCTCTCCTGGGTCTGGCATCTCCTGAGCCTGGTCTCTCCAAGGCCTCACCACTCCCGGGCCTGACATCTCCCGGGTCTGGCATCTCCCGGGTCTGGCCTCTCCCAGGCCTCACCTCTCCCGGGTCTGGCATCTCCCAGGGCCTAACCTCTCCCCGGCCTTGCCGCTCCCAGGCCTGGCCTCTCCTGGGCCTCGCCTCTCCCGGGCCTCACCTCTCCCGGGTCTGGCCTCTCCCAGGCCTCACCTCTCCCAGGTCTGGCATCTCCCAGGTCTGGCATCTCCCAGGCCTGGCCTCTCCCAGGCCTCACCTCTCCTGGACCTGGCATCTCCCGGGCCTCACCTCTCCTGGGCCTGGCCTCTCCCAGGCCTTGCATCTACCCAGCCTCGCCTCTCCAGGCCACCTGTTCCTGAAGGGCAGCAGCCCCCATTCCTCTCTAGGAGCCTCCCTGAATGGAGCTCGTAGAAGGTGCCTGTCTGCCAAATAGCCAGGCTGGCCCAGTGTGGTCCTGTTTCTCTCCTAGGCCACTGAAGAGTCCACTAAAACTATCCTGGAACTGGAAGAAACTGAGAAAAACATCCACAGCTCCCTCCAAGAGAGGAAGGAAGAGCTGTCGGTGCTGCAGGCAGACTTGGACACACGCGAGGCTGAACTCACCCGGCTCAGGGACCTCAAACAACAGGTAAACGTGTCCCAGGAGGTCCCTGGGGGTAAAGGCACCCGGGCGTGAACGCGCCACTCGTACAGAGGTCCTGCGTGCCCTAGGCTAGGGCCTCCCCTGGTCCCACTCCAGTAACAGCACCACCAGCTGCTCACATGTTTGTGGCTTTGTGATTTGTTCAATCAACAGATATTGATGGAGTATCTGTTATGAGCTGGGCTCCCGTTCAGGGTGTGTGGGCTGCAAAACAGAACACGAAAGACAAACATCCCTGCCCAACTAGGGTCTCCGTCCTGGGGCAGGAGGCCAGGTGATTCGCAAAATAATTTTAAAAGATACAGTGTGTTTTAGCTGGGCATGGTGGCACGTGCCTGTGGTCTCAGCTACTCAGGAGTCTGAGGTGGGAGGATCCCTTGAGCCCAGGAGGTTAAGGCTTCAGTGAGCCAAGATTGCACCACTGCTCTCCAGCCTGGATGACAGAGTGAGATCCTGTCTCAAAAAAAAAAAAGGAAATGATGTGTTAGGTGGTAGTGAATGCTTTGGAGGAAAATAAACCAGAGAAAGAAGCGTCAGGGACATCGGGTGAACTGAGGGGTTGGGAGTTTGAGTTCGGATGATCCCAGAAGGCCTCGTGGAGTCCAGAGCTGAAGGAGTGGACACCCACAAAGCCACCCCAGGCGGACAGCCCGACAAAGGCAGGAGCCTGAAACTGTGCAAGGGCTACCAGAAGCCAGCAGGGCAGGCTTGGGGAGGGGAGGGTGCATGAGACCCAGGCTTGGGGAGGGGAGGGTGCGTGAGACCCAGGCTTGGGGAGGGGAGGGTGTGTGAGACCCAGGCTTGGGGAGGGGAGGGTGAGTGAGACCCAGGCTGGGGGAGGGGAGGGTGAGTGAGACCCAGGCTGGGGGAGGGGAGGGTGCGTGAGACCCAGGCTGGGGGAGGGGAGGGTGAGTGAGACCCAGGCTGGGGGAGGGGAGGGTGAGTGAGACCCAGGCTGGGGGAGGGGAGGGTGAGTGAGACCCAGGCTGGGGGAGGGGAGGGTGCGTGAGACCCTGGCTGGGGGAGGGGAGGGTGAGTGAGACCCAGGCTGGGGGAGGGGAGGGTGCGTGAGACCCAGGCTGGGGGAGGGGAGGGTGTGTGAGACCCAGGCTGGGGGAGGGAGGGTGTGTGAGACCCAGGCTGGGGGAGGGGAGGGTGCATGAGACCCAGGCTGGGGGAGGGGAGGGTGTGTGAGACCCAGGCTGGGGGAGGGAGGGTGTGTGAGACCCAGGCTGCGGGGGTGGGGGGGGCAGGGGGGAGGGTGTGTGAGACCCAGGCTGGGGGAGGGGAGGGTGAGTGAAACCCAGGCTGCGGGGGGGGGGCGGGGGGGGTGCATGAGACGCAGGCAGAGGACCAGCCCAAACCATGGGGCCTTGGGGAGAGCATGATCATGACTGGATTTTTCTCTTGGGGAAGTGGGCACACACACAGAGGAGGGCGTTGGGGCTGAGAGATGACTTGGGTTTTAGGGGTTCCCCTGGCTCTAATGTTGCACGTAGATGAAGCATGGATACAGGAACCCCTCTGCGGCTATTGCAGCGCTTCAGGGTGGCCCCTGTGGGGGTGGCGAGAAGCCATCGGGTTCTGCATATGCGTGATGCCAATCTCGCCCAGTGGGATCCCTGCCGGGTTGGCTGTGGTGTGGGCAGAGAGAGGGGTGGATCATGGCTCCAAGGTTCTGGCCTGGCCAACTGAGACCTGGGAGATGATGAGGGGAGGGTACCTGGCACTGGGCCTGACATGTGGCAGGTGTCAAGAGTGTTGCCTAAGCCATGTGCAGTGGCTCACGCCTGTAATCCCAGCACTTTGGGAGGCCATGGAAGGTGGATCACTTGAGGTCAGGAGTTCGAGACCAGCCTGGCCATTGTGGTGAAACCCCACCTCTACTAAAAATACAAAAATCCGCAGAGCATGGTGGCAGGTACCTATAATCCCAGCTATCCAGGTGTGGTGGCAGGCGCCTGTATGTAATTCCAGTTACTCGGGAGGCTGAGGCAGGAGAATTGCTTGAAGCCAGGAGTCAGAGGTTGCAGTCAGACTGTGCCATTGCACTCCAGCCTCAGTGACAGAGCAAGACTGCCTCACACACACAAAAATAATGATAATGTCTCCTAGACAGTGATGATGAATAACTCAAAAAGGCCCCGACCCAGGGCCTCTCAGCCTTTTCCCTGAGATCCAGGGGTGAGACACCTTCAGGCCGTCCCTGTTCGGGTGTAGGTCTCTCCTCTGTGGAATTTCCTGGAGTCTGAGTTTGTTGGGGGGGGGGCAGCAGGTACCTTTCTTCCAGTTTGCATAGCCCCACATAGAATCTCCTTTCCCACCCAGAACTTTTCGGAGATCGTGGCCCTGCAGACGCGCCTTAAGCACCTGCAGTCTGTGAAGGAGGGGCGGTACGTGTTCCTGTTCCGCTCCGAGCAGACCCTAATGCTGCAGAAGCAGCGCCTGGATAAGCGGCTGGCTCTCATCGCCACCATCCTGGACCACGCGCTGAAAGAGTACCCCCAGTTCCAGGAGGACCTGCAGAAAGTCAGCCAGATGATCGCCAACAAGCTTAAGTCACTAGGGCCCTCCTAGGAAGCGGCCTGGACCTTGCCTTCCAAGGCCTCAAGGAAGAGATCCAGAATTGTGTTTATTATGAGGGACTTGGAATCTTCTGTGTTCCTAAAAACCACATGTACCCTCAGAAGGGCATTGTTTAAGAGAAATAGGCCAGCCCCACCCGTAGGAATCGTTTTAGCCACTCAGCAGTTTCAAGAAACCAAGTAAAATCCTAGCACTTCCCATGGCATTCCAGTAAGCCTTCCATCGCAAAGACAGAGCCCATGACTGCAAACCCACCCTCGCACACTGGACTCACTCGTCCAGGTAACACCTTGGTTTGCCACACTCCCAAATCTGCACGTGCCTCTCACAACACAGCGCTGGCATCTGTCTGCTGCTGGTGCTGGCATCTGTCTGCAAGCCGGTGGGCTGAGCAGCGGAGGGAAAGTTACAGCAGCTTCAGCCAGCCTTTGCCTGGGAGACAGCTTCCCCCAGCACCTCCCTCTACTAGGTGCGCCTGAAAACCTACAAACCATCTTTATTCAGATTCACAGCATGCAGCCCCAGACGTACATAACAGGGTAACCACTGAGCGGGCTGGGGCATCCACACCAAGAGGCCACACCCCACCTATCTCTTCTCATCATTAACCCGGCACTCTTTCACCCCATCCCTGGACTTCCAAGTACCAGTTACCCTGGGGCTTCTTTGCAGTTTAAAGGGAAAATGTTCTAGGAAATAATTTCACTTTCAAACATTTCAGCAGAATAAAATCTTTCTTCTGAATATCTAATAAGCTTTCTGAGTAAGGATTATTCTAAAACATTGTAGAAATACGAAACCACAACAGGGGTGGGAGGGGTTTTTTATTTGTTTGTTTTTGAGACGCAGTTTCGCTCTTGTTACCCAGGCTGGAGTGCAATGGCGCCATCTCGGCTCACCACAACCTCCGCCTCCTGGGTTCAGGCAATTCTCCTGCCTCAGACTCCTGAGTAGCTGGGTTTACAGGCACGAGCCACCAGCTAATTTTTTTTTTTTGTATTTTTAGTAGAGACAGGGTTTCACCATTTTGACCAGGATGGTCTCGATCTCTTGACCTCGTGATCCACCTGCCTAGGCCTCTCAGAGTGCTGGGATTACAGGCGTGAGCCACCGCGCCTGGCCCTGGGAGGGGTTTTTTAAACGCCTTGTGCCCTACCTACCCAGGGGTAATGCCCGCGTGTTGGTGTGGCTCCTTCGGTATTTTTCTGCACATACATTGTATTAGGAGAGTTAAGGTCATACTGTGTTTTTGTATCTCACATCTAAAAGCGTGCTCCTCTTAACATAAAAGCCTTTTCTTTATGAAAAAATTCTCCCCGTGTCAGTTTAATGTTCCCTCAATGGTCAGTTTTATGGATTATCACAATGTTTTGATTATTCCTTTGTGGAATAAGTGGGAGTTAGGGAGCACATCTGAGGAGTTTCCGAATGTTGGCTGTTTCTAACCTGGCGCCAAGCGCCTTTGGCCGCCTTTCCGATGTTGCCCCCGGGACTCGTTGACAGGAGGAAACCTTTTACAAAGCCCCACGAGCTGCGGGGACCGGACCAGGCCAGCGCGGCCCACGCCCATCTCTGACCCCACGGGGACCGGGGACCGGGCGGGGACTGCGCCAGCGGAAGCCTCTGACCCCAGAGGAACCGGCAGTTGGCAGCACGTGGGCCGGCCTCTCCCCGCAGGACAACGGACGCGGGGCCAGACGCGCTCCCTGGGCCCCCTCCGAGCGCAAGGACGCGCCCTGGCTCGCTCTGTCCAAGCCGCCACTGGGGGGCGCAGCGCGGACGCGCATCCTGGCCTCGAGCGCCTGCGCGGGAGGACGCGTCACGTGACCCGCTTCTGCGCGCGCCCGGGCACGACCACAGAGTTTACGCGGGTGGCCGGGGCGCGCGTACGCGGAGGTGAGCCGGGCCGGGACTGCGGGGCTGCCCTGAACGCGGGCCGTGTGGGTGGGACTGTCGGCTGTCTGCGGCCTCTGAGTTGGGAGAGCTGAGGTTGTCGCCAGGGCCGCGGTGGGGACCTGGGGTGAGACCGCGGGTGGGACAGTGACCCCGGTGACGCGAAGGGGCCCGGACACCTCCAGGTTCTCCTCGTCCGCTCAGGACTCAGCGAGGGAGGCTCTGCGCGTGCCGCAGCTGACGGGGAAACAGGCACGGAGCCCCGCGCTGCCGGCGGTAACACCCCAGACGCGGGTTTGAACCCGCCTGGCCGCGCCCCCAGCCTCTCTTCCCCTGAGGGGAGCTTGAGCCCCGGACCTCTAGTCCTCCCGGTCTTTCTCTGAATTAAGCTTAGAGATGAACGCAGAGCCGCCCTTCTGGATCGGGCTGGGGTTGGAGGCTGCGTCTTTCCCCTTGGGGTCGACGCAGTGCTCAGTCTTGGCCGGGCCCGGAGCCACACATGGCTGAGTCTGAATCCCTGGGAGAAGAGCACCGGGACCTGAGCGGGGGCCCCAGGGCCAGCTCTGAGATCCGAGTGTCTGAATCACGAAGACCCTCTTGGGCCAAGCCAGGGTGACTGTCTCTGTTCCTTGTCCCTGCTTGCGGCACACAGCACCTACAACCCTTGGAAACCGAGTTATGCGAGAGCCTTTCGCTAATGAGGTGACTGATGACTGGGGCCCCCAGGTGGCTTCAGGATGGAAGCAGAGGGCCCGAAAGACCAAAGCTTGATGACAGGGGCTGGGAGAGAAAAGGGGCGAGGGCTGGAGATTGAGTTGATCACCACTGGCTGAGTCAGTCATGCCTGCATCATGGAACCCTGGTAAAAACCAACTGGGATCAGAGGGCTTCCCTCCAGGTGGCTGAGCACACCAAGCCACCAGAGGGTGGTGTGGGCAGAGTGCGGAATCACTCCCGCCCCACCACCGGGCCCGAGCATCTCTTCGATCCGCTGTCCGAGTTTATCCTTTGTAATAAACCAGGAAATGTAAGAAGAGCACTTTCCTGAGTTCTGTGAGTCTGAAGCGGGAGTCCTGGGAACCCCTGAATTATTATTATTATTATTGAGACAGAGTTTCCCTCTTGTTGCCCAGGCTGGAGTGCAGTGGTGAGATGTTGGCTCACTGAAACCTCTGCCTCCCAGGCTTAAGCAATTCTCCTGCCTCAGCCTTGAGGGTAGGTGGGATTACAGGCATGCACCAGCATGCCTGGCTAATTTTGTATTTTTAGTAGAGACAGGGTTTCTCCATGTTAGTCAGACTGGTCTCGAACTCCTGACCTCAGGTGATCCGCCCACCTCGGCCTCCCAAAGTGCTGGGATTACAGGTGTAAGCCACCACGCCCATCCAAACCCCTGAATTTATAACTAATCAGAAGTACAAGTGGCAACCTCGGGACTGCAGTGGGCCTCTGAGATGGGGGCAGTCCTGTAGGACTGAGCCTTTAACCTGTGGAGTCTGTGCTGACTCCAGGTAGTATGAGGACTGAGTTGAATTGTAGGACACCTAGCCATGTCCAGAAAGTTGTAGAATCAATTGGTGTGAAAGAAACTCCCACATTTGATGTCAGAAGTTTGAATGAAACATTTTGCCCTCCAGCCTAGAGAGCCCTCACTTCCCAGTGGCCCACAGTGAAACACCAAGCCCTGCCAGGGACAGAGCATTCCCAGCCCAGCCTTCTGTAACATGACATGATACACCAGACTCCCTAAGGCCCTGCATTCACTTCTTCCTTGTGTGTGACCAGCTCCCAGTACCAGAGAAGGCTTCACGGTCCTCTGCTCCAGGGGCTTCCCTGGTCAGGGGCTTCTCTTTGAAATCCTTCCCTGCCTCTGCTTTAAGGCTCATTCCTCAGAGACATAGACCCCCCCACCCATGACTGGCTTTGGTTTGAGGACCTCCCTGCATTCCTCCCCCCATGGCCTTGCTGCTAGGACTCCTTCCTCCTTCCCTTGGGGTCAGACTCGCATGGATGCAGTGGCTCTCCCAGCCTTCCCCACTCCCTCCCCAGGGTGTATCACACACATCAAAGGGACTCCCCTATTAAAATCCATGCATATTGAATTACATGTGGGCTCCCGCTGTTCCGGGGAGACGCCAGACTAGCAGAATGTTCGTCATTAAATATTAATGTACAGACAAGCAAAACAAAGGTAGTTGTCACTTGTTAACCTTACCAGCAGAGTAATGAAAGTGAACCCACATATCTTGTCTGCATGTGACAATCTTGTCGTGTCTGTACCTGAGGCTCCAGGAGCAGCCACTGTTACAGAGACTGTTTCTCCCCCACGTACCTCAGAGGCTGGGAGTGGTTCTGATCTGCAAAGTCCCCCGAGGTCAAGTCCTTTCTCTCTTATGGCTTCACCACCCCTAGAGTGTCACCCCCAGCTGTGGTGCCCAGGATTCCCAACTGTGGTATATCCGTGCACCAGTCGATGGGAAAGGGAGACAGGGAAGGTGCTGGGTCCGCCTAAGAACGTGTGAGTTGCCAGAATCACTTCCACTGACACCCAGTGGACCAAGCCACACCTTTATGTGGAAGTGGGGCTCCCAGCCAGGTGTGGTGGCTTTTGCCTGTAATCCCAGCACTTTGGGAGGCCGAGGCAGGTGGATCACTTGAGCTCAGGGGTTCAAGACCAGCCTGGGCAACATGGCGAAACCCTGCAACTACAAAATTACAAAATATTAGCAGCCGGGTGCAGTGGCTCATGCCTGTAATCCCAGCACTTTGGGAGGCCAATGCAGGTGGATCACAAGGTCAGAAGTTCAAGACCAGCCTGGTCAAGATGGTGAAATGTCATTTCTACTAAAAATAAAAAAATTAGCCAGACATGGTGACAGGTACCTGTAATCCCAGTTACTCGGGAGACTGAGGCAGAGAATTGTTGAACCCAGGAGTTGGAGGTTGCAGTGAGCCGAGATCCTGCCACTGCACTTCAGCCTGTGCAAAAGAGCCAGACTCTGTCTTGAAAAAAAAAAAAAAAGTTAGCTGGGTGCTAATACTAGTGGTATGTGCCTCTAGTCCCAGCTACTCCGGAATCTGCAATGGGAGGACTGCTTGAGTCTGGGAGGTGGAGGCTGCATCGAGCCAAGATCTTACCACAGCACTGTGGCCTGGGCGACAGGCCAGTTTGACTGGCTCGTTTCAAGTGTCTAGTTGTCTTGCTGGTCTTCCTGGGGACGTTCTAAGTATGTTTCATTATAACATTTAGCAGACAGTGCAAGTGCTCTGCACTCCCCTGCTTGGGCTTTTCTCTCCCTCCCTTCTGGCCCTCTCCCCAGACTAGCCAGCGCTGCAGCACCCACACTGGCTGTCGCACCCCACCTGCCTGGGTGCCGCGGTGCCAGCCACGGTTGATGTCTCAGAGCTGCTTTGAGAGCCCCTGAGTGCCGGCCCCCCTGCCTCCCCTCTGAGCCTGCTTCCTGCTCCCGCAGGCCTCCAGGAGCCGTCCAGGCCATCTCTGACCATGGGAGTGAGGCAGCCACCCTGCTCCCGCCAGCTGCTGGCAGTCTGCGCCCTCGTGTCCCTGGCCACAGCTGTGCTCCTGGGGCACGTCCTGCTCCATGATTTGCTGGTGGTTCCCCGAGAGCTGGATGGCTCCTCCCCAGTCCTGAAGGAGACCCACTCAGCTCACCAACAGGGAGCCAGCAGGCCAGGGCCCCGCCATTACCCCGGCCGATCCAGAGCAGCACCCACACACTGCGACATCCCCCCCAACAACCGCTTCGACTGTGCCCCCGACAAGACCATCACCCAGGAGCAGTGCGAGGCCCGTGGCTGCTGCTACATCCCTGCGGAGCAGGCACTGCAGGGTGCCCAGATGGGGCAGCCCTGGTGCTTCTTCCCACCCAGCTACCCCAGCTACAAGCTGGAGAACCTGAGCTCCTCTGAAATGGGCTACACGGCCACCCTGACCCGAACCACCCCCACCTTCTTCCCCAAGGACATCCTGACCTTGCGGCTGGACGTGATGATGGAGACTGAGAACCGCCTCCACTTCACGGTGGGCAGGGGCAGAGGCAGGGGCGGGGCAGAGGGTGCGTGTGGGCCACAGCACACATGCACTTCACAAGGGCCACATGTGTTGCACTGCTGTGTGCTGAGCCCTTGCTAGGAGCAGAGGTGTGAGCAGACATGGCAGCACCCCTCAGGGAGCAGCGAGGACACCACGGTGACAGGTGCACCAGAAGCAGGGCTCGGGGCTCATTCATCTTTATGAAAAGGTGCATCAGGTAGAGTAGGGCTGCCAGAGGTTGCAGATGGAAACAGGACGCCCAGCAGACCCAGACTGCAGGTGCCCCAGGCATGACTTTGTTTTCTCGTGTAAGGCTGCAGTAACTGGGATGTAATTATACTAAAAGAGCTGTTTGTTGTTTTCTGAAATTCAGAGTTAACAGGTGTTCTGTATTTTACCTCCATCCTGGGGGAGGTGCCCTCCTCCTGGCTCTGCTCCTGGCTATGCAGATGAGGAAGCCGAGGCTCGGGGAGGCAGAATGCGCTGCCCATGCTCCCACACCCCTGTGCGGCTGTGCCAGGACCTGACCCATCCTTGGGGTGCAGGCTCCCCCCTGGAGAGAGAGTGAGGAGGGGGTGGGGGACGCAGATACACCCCCACCTCTTCTTCTAGATCAAAGATCCCGCTAACAGACGGTACGAGGTGCCCTTGGAGACCCCGCGTGTCCACAGCCGGGCGCCGTCCCCACTCTACAGCGTGGAGTTCTCCGAGGAGCCCTTCGGGCTGATCGTGCGCCGGGAGCTGGGCGGCCGCGTGCTGTGAGTGTCTGGGCTCTGCACCCTCACCCCGATGGGGAGGGTGACCTGTGTTTTTCACGGGCGCTCCCTGGGTCTTTTACTCCTATAGGTATAAATCTCACGTAAACACGTGCTCTGGCCTGACCAAGTCCCTGCTTGTCATGTAACTCAGGAAAATGCTCGGGAAGGACATTACTTGGATTTGCCTTAATCTTAAGAGGATTCGCCTTCGGAAATGCATCTTTTATTTTTCACTCATTCATTTACTCAGTGTTCACTTACTGACCCCCATGTGCCAGGTGATTTGGATCCTGCTCCCTGGGACAGACACAGAAGGGGAAGCCATAAGCAAGTCCACACAGACACAGCATCAGGGAGTAGTCACACAGAGAGCACTCTAGAAGCCAGCTGTGCAGACATGGGGGCAGGGCGGCCTCTCTGGAAGCCAGCTGTGCAGACATGGGGGGCAGGGATGGCCCCTCTAGAAGCCAGCTGTGCAGACATCAGGAAGGGATGGCCCCTCTAGAAGCCAGCTGTGCAGACATGGGGGGAAGCATGGCCTCTCTGGAAGCCAGCTGTGCAGACATGGGAGAGGGATGGCCCCTCTAGAAGCCAGCTGTGCAGACATCAGGAGGGGATGGCCCCTCTAGAAGCCAGCTGTGCAGACATGGGGGGCAGGGTGGCCTCTCTGGAAGCCAGCTGTGCAGACATGGAGGGATGGCCCCTCTAGAAGCTAGCTGTACAGACATCAGGAAGGGATGGCCCCTCTAGAAGCCAGCTGTGCAGACATGGCGGGACAACGTGGCCTCTCTGGAAGCCAGCTGTGCAGACGCAGGGCGGGGGGTGCAGGGTGGCCTCTCTGAGCTGACCTCTGAGAGACCCAAGAGAAGCATCTTACCAGGCTAGGTGTGTTGGTTCATGTCTGCAGTTCCAGCACTTTGGGAGCCCAAGACGGGAGGATTGCTTGAGCCAGGAGTTCAAGACCAGCCTAGGCAACATAGCAAGACCCCATCTCTACAAAAAAATTAAAATAGCCGGGAGTTGTGGCACATGCCTGTGGTCCCAGCTACTTAGGAGGCTGAGGTAGGAGGATCCCTTGAGCCCAGAGGTTCGCGGTTGCAGTGAACCGTAATTTTGCCACTGCACTTCAGCCTTGGTGACAGAGTGAGACCCTGTCTCAAAAAACAAACAAACAGCAAACAGGCATCTTATCAGATTTCGGCCTTGAAAGCACCAGCGTCTTGCCTGGGGAGGGTGGGCGCGGCGTGAGCATGTCCTGTGAGATGAGCCGTGATGTGTTCAAGAGCGCACAGCTTCCTGTGGACGGGGCTGATCTGGGGCTTTCACTCCTTGGAGGTGCAGTTTGCCTTGCACTTGACCCTCAGCAAACCCCCGGGGCCCCTCTGGGGCATGGCTGGGCGGGAACCTGGGAGGACTTTGGCCACAAGCCCCTTGGACTGGAAAGGTTCTGTTCAGCCCCTGCCCAGCCCTGCTTCTGGTCAGGGTTCATGGGACAGCCACGTATGCCAGTTCTGGTGCCTGCCATTTCCTGGAAGCCAGGGCCTCAGGGGCCGATGGGGTGGTGTGGGCCCAGCCAGGCAGTGCACCTCCTCTGAATGTACCCTCAGTGTTTGTCACGCTGGTGCCATGGTGCCAAGGGCTACAGGGCCTGGCACGGCCACCTGTCCCAGGATCATGAGCCTCAGGGCTGGCCAGGCCACCCTTCCCTCCCCAGGCCAGGGGGTGCTCTCTGGGTGCTCGGGCTTGTCTAGCCCCTCAGGTGCGAGCAAGCCCAGCTGGCCTCTGCCCTGCAGGCTAAACACGACAGTGGCACCGCTGTTCTTCGCGGACCAGTTCCTGCAGCTGTCCACCTCGCTGCCCTCGCAGCTCATCACAGGCCTCGCCGAGCACCTCAGTCCCCTGATGCTCAGCACCAGCTGGACCAAGATCACCCTGTGGAACCGGGACCTCGCACCCACGGTACAGCAGCGGGCAGCGGGTGGGACGCAGAGCCAGGGAGCGCAGGGGCTGACACACCTTCTGCATGTCCCAGCCGGGTGCAAACCTCTACGGGTCTCATCCTTTCTACCTGGTGCTGGAGGACGGCGGGTCAGCACACGGGGTGTTCCTGCTGAACAGCAATGCCATGGGTAAGCTGCCCACTGCCCAGCACCCAGGCTGGGGTCTCCTCCATGCTGGCCGCCCCAGAGACTGGAGGTCCGTGTCAGGGGACCTGAGCACAGTGCCGGGCCTCCTGTTCACTTCTGAGAAATGAGTCCCATGGGCCAACGCCTCTCCCAGCTCTGGCCTTCTGTGTTCCTAAGGAGGGTGCTGGGGCCCTGCCCGGAGGTGGTGGGCTGCAGCCACTTTCCGTCTTGCGCCAGTTTCCTCCTGAGTCAGGCTTAGCATGGCTTTCCCAGGCCACTCTGAGCTCCTCATGGGGAGAGCCTCGCTCTCTTCCTGCGTTTGGCCCATCCATGGGGTGCAGGGCCCTTGGGGTGAGGTATATCCCCATACCCCAGAGCTGCTTCCCTTCCAGACGTGGTCCTGCAGCCGAGCCCCGCCCTCAGCTGGAGGTCCACAGGTGGGATCCTGGATGTCTATGTCTTCCTGGGCCCGGAGCCGAAGAGTGTGGTGCGGCAGTACCTGGACGTTGTGGGTAGGGCCTGCTCCCTGGCCGCGGCCCCCACCCCGAGGCTCCCTCCCCACCCACTCACGGCGTCGGCATTGGCCTGCAGGATACCCATTCATGCCGCCATACTGGGGCCTGGGCTTCCACCTGTGCCGCTGGGGCTACTCCTCCACCGCCATCACCCGCCAGGTGGTGGAGAACATGACCAGGGCCTACTTTCCCCTGGTGAGTTGGGGTGGTGGCCGGGAGGGGCTGGCCGGGGTGTGTTTCCTCAGGCCCCAGTAGCCGGCTCCATGTTGTGGCTACAGGACGTGCAGTGGAACGACCTGGACTACATGGACGCCCGGAGGGACTTCACGTTCAACAGGGACGGCTTCCTCGACTTCCCGGCCATGGTGCGGGAGCTGCACGAGGGCGGCCGGCATTACGTGATGCTCGTGGTATGTGTCCCCACGCTCTGGGCGTTTGGGAAGGGGCTCCCCTCGTGCCCAGTGGCTCCTCCTCTGTGTGGCATCATTCTCGTGCCTGTGTGGCCGCCAAGGATGTTTCTTGCAGGCTTGGCCCCTGCTGTCCAGGGAGGGCAGGTTTGAGGTGCCGGAAATGCCTGAGTATTAGTCAGGATTCTATCACATGTAGGTTACTCGAACTGCTGCAAAGCAAAAGGCCAGAGGCACGATAAGCTGATGCCTCACGGTCCTGGAAAGTGGAGGGCCTGGGTGTGGGTCTCACTGGAACCGTAGAGGCTCCCCGTGCCTTCTGGCCCTGCCTCTCTTTCAGACTGGCTCTGAATCCCCAGAAAGGATGGTGTGAGCGAGGGCAGCTTCCAGCTTCCAGCCCTCCTGCTGGCACCACACCTCCCATAGAAAAGTCCTAGGGCAGGACTCTGAGTCACCCAGCACAAAGACAGGCCTTTCCCGGGGCCAGTCCCACAGCCAGAAGGATGCAGTTTGGGGGCTGGTCCAGCCCAAGTGCAGTGCCTGGCATACGGCCAGAGGAGGAGGTGGGAGGCAGGGCCAGCCGAAAAGACCTGGCAGCTCCTGCCAGGAAGACTGGCTTCAGCAGAGGACGTGCAGATGAGGAGCGTGGGGCTGTGCTGCCTGACGCTACCCATCTCCACCCCTGCCCTCTGCCGACAACAAGCGTCAGTAGCCCCTAAGAACAGGAGTGGAAGCACAGACCTTTTTTTTTTCATGTTTTTTTGATTATAAAAGAAAAGCAATTATTGTAGAACAGTTGTGAAACTCGAAAGGTTTAAAGAAAAGGTAAAACGTCCATACTCTCATACCCCACAGCAGCCTGCTGGTCCCGATTCCCTGGCCCTGGCTCCTCTCCAGGTGGGCGTGTGCAGGCACACAGGTGGCCACACTATGCATACACATGGCGCCATCCTCTGCCTTGTCCTCTCACTGTCTCAAGAGCTGCTTCCTGTTTTCCCTGTGGCTAGCGCCAGGGCTCTGGCTACCCTCACCTTGACAGGTTTCCTTCTTCCCAGGATCCTGCCATCAGCAGCTCAGGCCCCGCTGGGAGCTACAGACCGTATGATGAGGGTCTGCAGAGGGGGGTTTTCATCACCAACGAGACCGGCCAGCCGCTGATCGGCAAGGTAGGGCGGGCATCCAGGGGATGGGGTTAGAAAGCAGAGGCCATTGGCCAGGGGTTACGGGCAGTTGCTCAGGAAAAGGTGGGCTTTGAGGAGCCATCACGCCCAGTGGGACAGTTGAGAGGAGGGAGTCACAGTGGCTCATGACAACAGCGACTCCTACAAAGAATGCCACCATGAGCTCTTCCAGCAGCAGGCCTTTATATGGGCAGCCAGGCCCAGCCCAGGCACAAGCTCTCCAGACCCTCAGTGAGGCCTCAGGGTCCTCCTTGTCCTCCCAGTCCCCCAGGGGCCTTCTGGCCATTCCTCAGGCATTCCTGTGGGGAACTCCATGAAATGGCAACCCCCACCCACTCCAGAGCATGCTCAGGACCTAGGGCAGGTACCCCACTGAGGGAGCAGCTAGGGAGGGTGTGGTGTGGAAGTGTGAGACTCCGTGGCAGGCAGGGTGTGGTGCGGAAGTGTGAGGCTCCGTGGCAGGGAGGGTGTGGTGCAGATGTGTGAGGCTCCGTGGCAGGGAGGGAGGGTGTGGTGCAGATGTGTGAGGCTCCGTGGCAGGGAGGGTGTGGTGCAGATGTGTGAGGCTCCGTGGCAGGGAGGGTGTGGTGCAGATGTGTGAGACTCCGTGGCAGGCAGGGTGTGGTGCAGATGTGTGAGGCTCCGTGGCAGGGAGGGTGTGGTGCAGATGTGTGAGGCTCCGTGGCAGGGAGGGAGGGTGTGGTGCGGATGTGTGAGGCTCTGTGGCAGGGAGGGTGTGGTACAGATGTGTGAGACTCCGTGGCAGGGAGGGTGTGGTACGGATGTGTGAGGCTCCATGGCAGGGAGGGAGGGTGTGGTGCGGATGTGTGAGGCTCTGTGGCAGGGAGGGTGTGGTGTGAATGTGTGAGGCTCCGTGGCAGGGCTTGCATGGGGTCCCCTCCGCTGCCCTTCTCCCTGACGCTCTCTGGTTCTGCAGCCCAGCCCTTGGGTGGATGTGTTGGGGGCGGCCTCTCGTTTTCAGGGCTGAGGCCACTCAGCCCAGCATCAGTGCCTTGTGGAAGAAGAGCTGCTCATTGACCCCCAGGGTGCAGCTCTCTTGGGTTTGCAAATTTGGGCATCCAGTAAGAGTCAGGCTACCCTCTGCTCGGGCTGAGACTTGGGGGCCTTCAGTGCAGGCCCCAGCTGGGCTGGGTCTCCCCACTCCGACCTCTCGTTGTCCAGGTGTGGCCCGGGTCCACTGCCTTCCCTGACTTCACCAACCCTGAGGCCCTGGCCTGGTGGGAGGACATGGTGGTTGAGTTCCACAACCAGGTGCCCTTCGATGGCATGTGGATTGTAAGTGTGGCCCCACTTCCGAGCGTCTCTATGGTCTCTGGGACCGTCCCACCCTCCTCACTCTGGGCAGAGTCACCCACCAGCAGGGCTTCTCTTGCAGGACATGAACGAGCCTTCCAACTTCATCCGGGGCTCTGAGGTCGGCTGCCCCAGCAATGAGCTGGAAAACCCGCCCTACATGCCTGGTCAGTCCCCGATACCTGCCCTGGGGTGCCCTCTGGGGACTTAGTGCTTCAAATCAGAGACCCCCTTCTCTGGCCTGGGAGACTCGGTGCCCTCATCTCTGAGAAGCAGATGGGCCAGCCAGGAAAGGGGCAGGAGGGGAACTCCAGAAGGAAGGCTCAGGCCCGGAGACTCAGCCACGAAGTGCAGACAGGGTGGGGGTAGAGGAGCGGGCCCTTGGAAGGAAACGCCGCCCAGGGTGCTTGCCAGAGCAGTGAGGCCAACTTGACTCGAGGCTGTCTCAGTAGGCTCGGGGGGCCTGCCGTGGGCAGAGGTCAGACCCAACTTGAGTGCAGCCCGGCCAAGTGGAGTTCCAGCCAGGGAGCAGGGTGGGGGTCGGAGCGGGGAGTTACTAAGAGAAAGCATGGGCTAAGGGGGATTCTGGCCGAAGGCAGGCCAGAGTGACCAGACATCACCTAAGGGATGGTGGGGGATGGGGCTTCTTGCTAAACTGACTTCGCAGGAATGGCAGAAACTGGATTTTACAAGGAAGCACACAGATGGGCCTGGGAGAAGGTTATGGGGCCTGAGGGAGTCACAGTGGCTCATGACTGGGTAGCTTGGCCAAGCAAAGAATCAGTCAGAGGGTAGGGTTTGGGGCTTAGGTAAGCAGGCAGGGGAGTGCTTGAAATGAGCCAAGAGATGGTGGATGTGAAGTCAGGGTGTCTGCAGAGCCCAGCAGCCACCTGGCCCTGTCTTGGGAGCAGTGGAGATGGCACAGGATGTGCCCAGGTTCCCAGGGCAACACCAGCCCCTGCATCGGGATCGGCTGCAGGTGTGGCTGCAGGGGCACCTCCAGGGTCAGCCTGAAGAGCCAGGAATTCCCCGGGGGCTCCCGGGATGTGTGGGCAGGGAGGGCTTCTTGGAGCAACCAGGAGGAAGCTCCCTAGAAAGCAGCCCCACCTCTTCCAGGGGTGGTTGGGGGCGCCCTCCAGGCGGCCACCATCTGTGCCTCCAGCCGCCAGTTCCTCTCCACACACTACAACCTGCACAACCTGTACGGCCTGACCGAAGCCATCGCCTCCCACAGGTGAGGGCCCCGTCCCACCCCACTGGGCTCTGCCGCACAGCCTGTCCCACAGGGTCTGGGCCTCAGCAGGGCCTCGGGGAGGGGGCAAAGAGGAGGCCCAGACCACCCACACAGGGCCCACCAGTGGCCTGAGTGCTGTCCCCACCCCCTACCTGCACCCCAGCCTGAAGCTGGAGGCTCCTTCCCACTACATGCCTGGGGCTTGCATAGGAAGGACCCTGGGTGCTGACGAGGAGTATCAGCGGGAATCTTGTGACTCCTGTGAGGTTCTGGGGGTCCCGGCTCGCCTGCAGGCATAAGATGGCCTGGACAGAGCCGACTGTGCCCAGCAGACGTGGGCAGTGGCCTTGCCATCCTCCTCCCTGGCCTCCGCTTCATCCCAGACAGCCCCTTGCTCCTAGCTCTGCCCTGCTGGTGACAGGATTCCTGGGTGACCCCACTCCACACAGCCCTCATAGTGTCCCTCCACCCACCAGAGCGCTGGTGAAGGCTCGGGGGATGCGCCCATTTGTGATCTCCCGCTCGACCTTTGCGGGCCATGGCCGATACGCCGGCCACTGGACCGGGGACGTGTGGAGCTCCTGGGAGCAGCTGGCCTCCTCCGTGTCAGGTGAGCTCTTACCAGGAGAGGCTGCTCAGAAGAGAGGAGCTGGGGCCCCAGCCCACTCAGCAGATGGGGCTGAGCTGGCTCTGCTGCAGCAGCCTGAGCCCAGCCCTTCTCTGCCCTCCCAGAAATCCTGCAGTTTAACCTGCTGGGGGTGCCCCTGGTCGGGGCGGACATCTGCGGCTTCCTGGGCAACACATCAGAGGAGCTGTGCGTGCGCTGGACCCAGCTGGGCGCCTTCTACCCCTTTATGCGGAACCACAATGGCCTGCTCAATCTGGTAGGGCGGGGCAGGGGGGATCCCACCCACCCAAGACTCTCCCCTGGGAATCCCTCCCCTGCTGGAGAAGCACCCAGCTGGGTGGCTACAGAGCACAGGTCTCTGGAGATGGGGACTCCAGGGGCTGGTGGCCCCAGGCCCCAAGTGCTTCCTTCACCCATGCCTGCCCTACAGCCCCAGGAGCCGTACAGGTTCAGCGAGCCAGCCCAGCAGGCCATGAGGAAGGCCCTGGCCCTGCGCTACGCACTCCTCCCCCACCTCTACACACTGTTCCACCTGGCGCATATCGGCGGGGAGACCGTGGCCCGGCCCCTCTTCTTGGAGTGAGTCACCTGGGCAGGGGCCCTGGCCCATGTGTGCCCCCATGGAGGGGCATGTAACTAACACCCAGGCAGCGCTGTCCTGCTGCGGGCCGCATTTCCCAAGACCAGGCAGGTTGCCACCGAGTGAGACAAGGCCATGGCCTGGCCCTCCCTCCCGAGGTGCCCCTGCACCCCTAGTTTCCCCTTAGATCCCATGGAGGTATGGAAAAACCCAGGATGCAGAACACTGAGTGCAATCAGGCCAAGCAGTAAAGTGATTGATAAAACCATCTCAGCCTGGCTGGAGGGAGAAGGGCAGCAAGAGAAACCCAGTAATATCCCCAGACAGTCGACAATGCACACAAGGAGGTCCCGACAGCCCCTCACCTCAGTGGGTTGAGGGAGGATTCCCAGAGAGTAAGGTGATTAGTTAACTATGTGCAGAAGTTGATTGATTTTTCTCTCATAACATAGAAACGTAAGTTCCAGGTAGATTAAATAGCCAATGTCAAAAATCAAGCTGTGGAGGCCAGGTGTGGTGGCTCACGCCTGTAACCCCAGCACTTTGGGAGGCCGAGGCGGGTAGATCACACAGTCAGGAGTTCGAGACCAGCCTGACCAACATAATAGCGAAACCCCATCTCTACTAAAAATACAAAAATTGGCTGGGCATATGGCGCATGCCTGTAATACCAGCTACTCAGGAGTCTGAGGTAGGAGAATTGCTTGAACCTGGGAGGTGGAGGTTGCAGTGAGCCAAGATTGCACCATTGCACTCCAGCCTGGGTTACAGAGAAAGACTCAATCTCAAAAAAAAAAAAAAAAAAAAGTTAGCCAGGTGTGGTGGCGGGTGCCTTTAATCCCAGCGACTCAGGAGGCTGAGGCAGGAAAGTCACTTGAACCCAGGAGACAGAGATTGCAGTGAGCTGAGACCACTGCACTCCAGCCCATGTGACTGTCTCAAATAAAAAACAAAAAAGCTGTGGAAGACTCCACAGGACAAGAGAAGTAAATGTGTGTCTGTGCTGTGGAGGCAGAGGGCTAAGTACTAAAGCAGAAAGAAAGGGAAAGAGGTTTCATTTAGAAAAAAAAGAAGGTAAACTTTATTTGACCATAGCAGAAAAAAAAATGTAAATCTCTGAATATAAACATAAAAAAATTAAATCTGCCCTGAACATAGATTGTAACAGCGGAGAAGCCATTGTCAACAAAATGGCAAATAGCCACTCTTCCTAATAGATAGAGAACTCATATATTGGTAAGACCAAGCCTGAGAACCAAATTGCAGAAATGCTGTTTGCAAAAGAGGAGATAGGAATGGCATCCACACATTCTTCAAGATATCCAAGAAATGCAGTTTGTTTTCATTACTATTTTAATTACCTTGTCATTTCTTTCACTATTTCCTTTAAGTTTGGGGTTTTTTTAGTGCTTCCCCTGGGGATTACAATTAACATCTTAATTTTAGCCTACTTAGAACTGATGCCAACTTGCTTTCAATCGTATAAAAAATTGTGCTTCTGTGTGGTTCCCATGCCTCTCGTTCTGTGCTGTTGTACATCTGTATCCGTTATGAGCCCATCCACACAGATTGATCACGACTGCCTTATTCAACTGTCTTTTAAGTCAAATAGGAGGGAAAAAAGAGTTAAAGAGTACATGTGTTCTGTCTGTCTTTTATATTTACCTATGTAGTTACCTTTACCCGTGTTTTTATTTATTTATGTGGCTCTGACTTCCTGTCTAATACCCTTCATTTGTGCCAGAAGTGTCCCCTTTAGTATTTATTGTAGGGCAGCTCTGCTAGTGATGAATTCTCTGAGTTTTGTGTTGACTTCACAGTCTTAACTTCTCCTTCATTGTTTGAGAGTTCTGCTCGATGCGGAGTTCTTGGCTGGCAGCCGTTTCTCTCTGCACTTTGAACTTGTCAGCCCGTGGCCTCCACGGTTTCTGCCGAGTAGCTTCTCTCTTGCCTCTTCTCAGATTCTCTGTCTTTGGCCTTTGAAGGTCCGATGATGTGTCTAGGTGTAGATCTCTCTGATTTTATCTTACTTGGAGTTTGTTGAGCTTCTTGGATGCATACATTAATGTTTTTCATCAAACTCAGGAGGTTTTTCAGCCATTATTTCATCAAATGTTTCTTCTGCCCCTTTGTGTCTTCTACCTCTGGGACTCCCGTTCCACATATGTTGGTACACTTGACGGTGCCCAGGGGTCTCTGTGGCTCTGTTCACTCCTTCATCGTGTTTTCTTTCTGTTCTTCAGACTCCATAGTCTCAACTGCCCTGTCTGCAAGGTCACTGATTTCTTTTTTCTGCCTGTTCTCATCTGCTGTTGAGCCCCACTAGGGGACTTTTCATTTCAGTTGCTCTCTTTTCTACTCCAGAATTTCTGTTTCACTCCTTTACATTTCTCTCGTTAAGGATGTGCCCTAACTGGTGAGTCATGTTCTGGTACTTTCCTTTAGTTCTTTAGACACAGTTTCCCTTAGCTCTTTGGACATATTTAAAGTAGCTAACGTAAAGTCTTTGTCTAGTAAGTCCAATGTCTGGGCTTCCTTAGGGATAGTTTTTATTAACTACTTTTCCTCTGTTTGTGGGCCATGCTTTCTTTGCATGTATCACACTTTTTTATTTTTGTTTCAGACTGGACTTTGTTTGCTTTGAGACAAAGTCTCACCCTGATGCTCAGGCTGGAGTGCAGTGGCACAATCTCAGCTCACTGCAACCTCCACCTCCCAGGTTCAAGCAGTTCTCCAATGTAGCTGGGGCTACAGGTGCCCACCACCACGCCCAGCTAATTTTTGTATTTTTAGTAGAGATGGGATTTCACCATATTGGCCAGGCTGGTCTCAAACTCCTGACCTTGTGGTCTGCCCACCCCAGCCTCCCAAAGTGCCGGGATTCCAGGTGTGAGCAGACTGTCATTTTCTTTCTTTCTTTTTTTTGAAATGGAGTTTCACTCTTGTTGTGCAGAATGGAGTGCAATGGCCAGGTCTCAGCTCACTGCAACCTCCACCTCCCAGGTTCAAGTGATTCTCCTGCCTCAGCCTCCCAAGTAGCAGGGATTCCAGACACCTGCCACCATGCCTGGCTAATTTTTGTATTTTTAGTAGAGACAGGGTTTCACCATATTGACCAGGCTGATATCGAACTCCCAAACTCAGGTGATCCACCCACCTCAGCCTCCCAAAGCACTGGGATTACAGGCATGAGCCACCGTACCCGGCCCAGACTGGACATTTTAAATGCAGCCACTGTGGTCGTAATTCCCTATCCCCCTCAGGCCTCGTTGCTGTTGCTGGTTGTTTTGTGGCTTTTTTGAGCTAATTCCATATGGCCTGTTCTTTGTTGTGTGTGGCCACTGGAGTCTCTGCCTGACTAGCTTAGTGGACAGCCGATAATTGGACAGATAATCCTTCACACATGGCATCGATGAGTCTCCCAGCCTTTGCCAGGTGGCTGGGGCGAGGTGGGGAGTGCCTTCAGAACTCAGCAAGGCTTAGGATTCTTGCTGTTCTTCCAAAGATTCAGCTGTTTTCTTAAATACATGTTACCCAGATCGCTGCAAGCCTTTGGTTAGTTTCTAGAGTCCTAAAAATGTCAATTCTGACAATTTTTGCCTATGTTCTTGTTTTTACAGAGGAGACAGAGGATTTCCAGAGGTGTTTATTCCCCCATTTTCACTGATATCACTCCAAGAACTATATTTTGCAAGAAATATTTTGAAGTAGAAAGATACCATTTCTTTTGCCTCTGAACTAGAGAAAATGAGACTATCCCATGCTGGCAAGGGCACAGTGACACAGTAGGTAGAATTTCAGCTGGCACATTTGTAGAAAGCAGCAGTACATATCAGTCAGTGTTTCTGACACTCACATTGATGCATTCATTTTACAAATAGAAATAGGGCCTCAAGAAGTCACCTAAAAAGACATAATAGCTCCATGAATGTACCCATGCAGCAATCATAGCTGAGCACTGGGGCAGGGGGCGGAACGCGGTCAGGACAGTTTCTGTTAGACGGAGGATCCGCCGCAGAGCGCTCGTACCTGTATGTCCTCTTTGTGTCAGATGTTAATCCAGGTTGCCTTTGGTTATGGGATTGGGGGATCTTTTCTCTTTGGTGATAACTTTTTTGTACTTTCCAAATACTTGACCAGTGAGCACGTGCTGCCTTGGTCATTGGAAGATAGGTGAGCAAGCAAAGTGAGGCTAGCGCTCTGTGCGCCCCATGCCTCAGGCATGAGCCCAACGCCTTCCCTGGGCCCGGCCGCTGGAGTGTCCTGGGAGAAGGCTCCCCCAGCCCCAGCACTGACTTCCATCTGCTGGAATCAGTCTTGCCTGTCTAACCTGAATCCTCCAAGTCCTGTGGCTCCTTGAGCTCCCAGAAAGCATAATTCAGCTTCTCTTCCGGTGCCCCCCTGCGGGTGGGCATTCCGACCACCCCACCCATTCCTCACCTGTGTGCCCGTGCCTTTGCAGGTTCCCCAAGGACTCCAGCACCTGGACTGTGGACCACCAGCTGCTGTGGGGGGAGGCCCTGCTCATCACCCCAGTGCTCCAGGCTGGGAAGACCGAAGTGACTGGCTACTTCCCGTCAGGCACATGGTACAACCTGCAGACGGTGAGTCTGGGGACCCTAAAACCCAGGGAGGCAGGAGATCAGAGCAGCCCTCCCACCTGCTCCCTCCACCCAGTCGGTGTGACCAGGTGGTGGAAAGAGGAGCATATGTGTTGAGTCCCAGCCATGTGCCAGGTCCCCGCCCAGATGCTCTACACCCATCGGCCCTCTGCTCCTTTGACCGTTCCCCATTTCCCAGATGAGCAGACTAAGGCCCGAGTCCCACGGCCGTCACAGGCTGTGCTGAACTGGCACACCCAGGCCTCTTGGGCTCTGTCCCCACTCAATGGCCAGGAGGGCCCCACACTGAGCCCTGAGTCCACCCCTGAAGTTACAGCTCAGCCTGTCTGTGCCAGGCCTCCTAGGCCTCCACATGGAGCCCCAGGAGACAGAGCATGGTTCCCGAGGACGGCATGGAGGCCTCGGCGTGGCCCAGAATCCTTCTCAAAGCAACACCTACCTCCCTCCAGGTGCCAATAGAGGCCCTTGGCAGCCTCCCACCTCCACCCAAAACTCACTGTGAGCCAGCCATCCACAGCGAGGGGCAGTGGGTGACACTGCCGGCCCCCCTGGACACCATCAATGTCCACCTCCGGGCTGGGTACATCATCCCCCTACAGGTACCTGCCTGGGCCAGGAGGCTGTGGTAGGGATGTGGATGGCAAACCGTGGAGTCGGGGGAGGTGCAGAGAAGTGGGAGGAGAGGTGGGGGTGTGGACAGCACTGCAGAGCAGGGGGAGGCACGGAATTGGGGGAGAGATGGGGGTGTGGACAGCACAGACAGGGGGAGGCACAGGAAAGTGGGAGGGGAGGTGGGGGTGTGGACAGCATTGCAGAGGAGGGGGAGGCACAGGGAATTGGGGGAGAGATGGGGGTGTGGACAGCACAGACGGGGAAGCACAGGAAAGTGGGAGGGGAGGTGGGGGTGTGGACAGCACAGAGGAGGGGGAGGCGCAGGGAAGTGGGAGGGGAGGTGGGGGTGTGGACAGCACAGAGCAGGGGGAGGCACAGGGAAGTGGGAGGGGAGGTGGGGGTGTGGACAGCATTGCAGAGGAGGGGGAGGCTCAGGGAAGTGGGAGGGAGAGGCCCACGCAGGGCTTCTGAGAGGCTGCCATCCCCAGTGTAGGTTACCAAGGAGCCAGCCAGGCTGGTGAGGTGGGGAGGCACAGCCCTGAAAGGTGTGGAGTATGGCCGGTGGGAGCTCAGTGGTCTGCACGGTGGGGACTCTGCCGGGCCCAGCCTCCAGCAGCCGTGGGATGGCACTTGAGGTGGGGAGGGTCTCGGCCATCACCACAGGCTTCCTGCAGATCCTGGTTCCTGGCAGCCTGGCACCAGCCCAGCCTCGAATTCCCGGGCCCAGGAGACCTCCACCTCCACCAGGGTAGTCATGATGACATTCCCTTTCCAGGGTCCCGGCCTCACAACCACTGAGTCCCGCCGGCTGCCCATGGCCCTGGCTGTGGCCCTGACCACGGGTGGGGAGGCCCGAGGCGAGCTGTTCTGGGATGACGGAGAGAGCCTGGGAGTGCTGGAGCGAGGGGCCTATACACAGGTCACCTTCCTGGCCAGGAGCGTGAGTCCTGGGCTGCCTAGGCTGGTGGGCGGGGGCAGGTAAGAGTTGAGGGGTGAGGGGAGCTAGGCTTGCAGGTCCCAGGATGGCCACCTGTGGTTCGGGCACTCTGCCAGGTGGGCCAGCGTCCTAGAGTGAGCAGTGGGGCCGTGCACTCTGCCCTTTCGTCTGCACAGAGGGAGGCCGCCCCTCTGATGCCATCACGAGTCCCTGTTCTCACAAGTGTCCCTGCCCCCGCTATCTGCTGACGCCTCCACATTCTCTCTCTTTCTGTTTCCCTCTGCTCGGCCCAGAACACGATCATGAATGAGCTGGTGCATGTGATCAGCGAGGGGGCTGGCCTGCAACTGCAGAAGGTGACCGTCCTGGGCGTGGCCACGGCGCCCCAGCAAGTCCTCGCCAACGGGGTCCCTGTCTCCAATTTCACCTATAGCCCTGACACCAAGGTAAGAGGGCCCAGCAGGGCACAGGGCTCCCATCCCCCAGCCGTGGCACAGAGGGCGGAGGGTGTTGAGGGTCCTGGTGACCCAGTGCCAGGAGCAGAGGACGCTGGGACCTCCCTAGGGGGCCTTTGGGGAGGAGTGGGAAGGGTCAGGCCACGCAGGCTGCACCTTTCTTCCTCCTGTGTCTCCACATGGGTGATAGAGCCATGATGGCGACCCTCCAGCTGCAGTTGAGCAGCACTGCATTTCTGGAGCACGTTAAGGTGGCCAGCGCTGAGAGCCGGGGTCTTCCTGCGCTTGCTGGGAGGAACCAGGCACCAGGCATCCCAAGGCCAGACAGAGCTGCCTCCTGAGCGCCGGGTCTGCTGCTCCATTTGTCCTCTCTCTTCCAGGTCCTGGACATCCCTGTCTCGCTGTCGATGGGAGAGCAGTTTCTTATCAGGTGGTCTTAGCCAGGCAGAGTGTGTGGGTCTCTCTGGAGGGAGGCAGAGCCTGTGTGCGGGCAGCAGCTACGTGTAGGGCTGGGGGTTAGATGTGCCACCCGGAGCCTGGCACTGACTATCCGGAGCCTCCATATCGCTCATCTCCACCTCCTGGGCAGGGCTCTGGCTCCCACGTGTCTAGGAGAGGTTTCTCCCCAGAGGGCACTGTGGCCCAGGGCCCTGGAGGGCTGCTCTGGCTCTGCGTTAGGAAGACTGTGTGGTTTGCCCCCTCAGCTGTCACTGGCAGGCAGGTAGCGTTAGCCACCGCCCTGTCTGTTCCCAGCACCGCCCTCCGTCTGTCCCCAGCACTGGAGAAGGGGGTGCTCAGGTGGGGGTGTGGCGTGTGCACTGACCTCCTGCCTCGTGCCTGCTGCTCCATCCCCGTGTAGCCACTGCCGGGCTATCCAGAGGGCTAAACGCCTGCCGGCAAGCCTGGAAACTCAGGAAAATTCACAGGACCTGGGAGATTCTAAATCTTAAGTGCAATTGTTTATAATAAAAGGGGCATTTGGAATCAGCTTCTTCTGGTCCTTCTGGGATTCGGAGCAGGGAGGATGTGTCCAGCGGCCCTGGAACGGAGGCAGCTTCTTAGTCCTCAGCCAGCCCTGGACATTCCCATGGTGGGTGCGTGCCGTCCTCTGTCTCTCAAGCCAGCATCCGTCACCTCATGTCCTCATGTCACGAGGCCTGACCACCTCAGTGCTGTCCCCATCTCACCTCACATCCTGTCACCTCATGTCCTCGTATCACCTAAAGCCCCACATCACCTTCATGTCCTGTCCCCCCTCATCTCACATCCTACCTCATGTCCCCATGTCACCTTCACATCCTACCTCACCTTACCTCAGGTCTCCACTTCACCTCCCCATGTCACCTCCACACCTCCCTTCCCCTCCCCTCCACCCACCTCACCTCTCCTCCCCTCCACACCTCACCTCCCTGCCCCACCTTCCCACCTCCCCTCCACACCTCCCGTTCCCTCCACACCTCCCCTCCTCACCTCTCCTCCCTTCACACTTCCCCTCCCCACTTGGGCTGTCCCAGCCTAGCATTCCCAGGCCCTGGAGGTGGGGGTATGGACCTCTCTTCCCCACCTCCCCTGCCTACCTTTCCTCCCCTCCACACCTCCTTTCCTCACCTCTCCTCCCCTCTTCACCTCACCTCACCTTCCCTCCTCATCCCACCCCACCTTCCCACCACCTGTCTCCACCTCCCCTCCCCTCCCCCCACACCTCAGCTCCTCCCTTCCCCTCCTCACTTCACCTCACTCCCTTCCCCGTCCTTACCTCTCCTCCCCTCTCCTCCTTACCTCAGCTCCTCCCTTCCCCTCCTCACCCCACCTCACCTCCCCATTCATCCTCACACCACTGTCTCCCCCATGTCTAAGGTGACGGGCCTGGTGTCAGGCATATGATGGGAGATGTGGCCCCCAGGGCTGTATAGACAAGAGGACCCTGGAAGGGGCTCCCAACAGTGGGGCCTAAGACCTTAGACAGAGGCCAGAAATCTGTCCCCAGTGATGCGGTTAGAGAGGAATTCGGGCCCAGGTTCTGCCCGGCAAGCCTGAAGAAAGGGAAAGAAGCCCATTTTGTTGCGATAACACCAGAAGAAATCACTGCCATTAGCTGGTCAGATACTTCATTTTATCACTCAGAATTACTGGGGCCGGGCCAGGTACAATGGCTCACACCTGTACTCCCAGCCCTTTGGGAGGTCAAGGCGGGCAGGAGTTCAAGAGCAGCCTGGCCAACATGGTGCTACCCCATCTCTACTAAAAACACAAAAATTGGTTGTCAGGGTGGTGCATACCTGTAGTCCCAGCTACTCGGAAGGCTGAGGAAGGAGAATCACTTGAACCCAGGAGGCGGAGGTTGCAGTGAGCCAAGATCGCGCCACTGCACTCCAGCCGGGGTGACAGAGTGAGACTCCATCTCAAAAAAAAAAAAAGAAGTGGCCAGCATTGAAGGCACCTGCAGAGGGATTATTCTGCCACCTTCCTGAAAACCAGGAGTAGAAAGTGCAGTGATGTCCCTGTGGAGCACGATGACATCCGTGGGGGGCAGTATGTCTACCCGAGTGACCAGCGCTCTTGTCTTTTGGGTCGGCTTTTATAGAGGTGGATACTGCCCTTCTGTCCCATTCCAGGCCAGGGCCTGAGCCTCACATGCCACTTGTACCATCCAGATTGACATAAGTCACCTCTCGCCCTAAAGTTCCTCTGTAATGTGGACACACTAGTGACCATAACAGATGTGACTTCCCTCATCCTAGTCCTGTGTGGGGTTAAGAAGTGGGGACGTTTGTCCTGAGGCTGGCAGTGTCCTCCCCTAATGCTCTGCCAGGCCCACCAGGTCTGCAGTGGACACGCAAGATGGTCAGAAAGGGTTGATGGAGTCTGGCGGCCGCAGCCAGCCTGGACCAGCCATCAGCTCCTCACCTTCTGTGCCACCGCCCAGCCCAGCAGCACCACGATAGCCTCAGCTCCTTGTGGGATCTGACCTTTCCTCAGCTGCTATAACAAAATACTCGAGACTGGGTAACTTAAAAACAACAGAAATGGATTTCTCACAGGGCTGGAGGCTGGGAAGTCCAAGATGGAGGCAGGTTCTGTGTCTGGTGAGGACTGCTGTCTGCCTCACACATGGCCCTGTCCGTCTTCCTGTGGGGGAGGCGAACACAAGCTCCCTCGAGCACTGAGTGTCACTGATCATGATGGAGAGCCCTCGTGGCACGTCACCTCCCAACAGCACCACCTCTTTTTTTTTGAGACAGAGTTTTACTCTTGCCCAGGCTGGGGTACAGTGGTGCAATATTGGCTCACTGCCACCTCCACCTCCCGGGTTCAAGTGATTCTCCTTCCTCAGCCTCCCGAGTAGCTGGACTACAGGCATTCACCACCACACCTGGCTAATATTTGTATTTTTAGTCGAGATGGGATTTCACCATGTTGGCCAGGCTGGTCTCAAACTCTTGACCTTAGATGATCCACCTGCCTCAAGCTCAAAGTGCTGGGATTACAGGCATGAACCACCAAGCCTGGCCAGCCCCACCTCTTAAAACCACATCACTGGGGATTAGGTTTCAACAGAGGATTTTGGGTTCCTAAACACTGGGGTGTGATGTCGGGAACTGGGAATACAGGCAGCAGAGTGATTCTAGCTACCTCACAAGGAAAGGGGTTTGTGGAGAGAGCAGAGCATGCAGGCCAGAAGCACAGTCAGAACAACCCGTGGAGCCGGGCACTCACCGTTCTGCCCCATGTGAGCTGGGTGCCCGCTCTGCATTAGGCTCTGTTCCAGGACTTGGATGACACAACCTTCATAGCACAGAGCTGTCAAGAGTCCTGAGTGAGGAGGTTGGCATGGGGTGGGACAGTGTCCCCTGAGTGGGAAGGGATAGGTCGGGATGGGGAGAGGAGTTGGTTCCATCCTCTGAGAGGCCGGGGTCCGCTCACAGGGTGGTCCACACGGCACAGCCCGTCACGTGGGACGCTGGCCTGTGGGCACCTTGGGGCAGCGGCCAAGATGGCTTCATTTGTTTTCTCACCAGTGCCTGATACAGGCCCTGCCTCAGTGGGACTCTATTAAACTTAGGCGAAGTTTAAAGTGATATAGGTGTGGACACCAGGGAGCCCTGTCCAAGTGACTGGGGGCATTCAAGCTGGCACCCTCTGCCCTGGGAGAAGACATCCTGGGAGGCTGAGCCCTCTCAATCTCTCCCAGCCCAACCTCTGAAATAAAGCCTGCTGCTGGTGACGAAACACTCTTGGTTGATGTTCTGGGTAATGAGTCACTGTGTGGGGCTGGGGCCAGCTTCACAGGTGTGGCCCATGCAGGCCCTCAGCGCCCGAGCTCAGCAGGCTGCAGCTGGGTTTAAGGCTCCACAGTCACCATCTTGAAATTCTGTATTGTTTTGGTTTTTTTGAGACGGAGTTTTGCTCTTGTTGCCCAGGCTGGAGTGCAATGGCGTGATCTTGGCTCACTGCAACCTTCACCTCCCGGGTTCAAGCGATTCTCCTGCCTCTGCCTCCTGAGTAGCTGGGACTACAGGCATGCGCCATCTTACCTGGCTAATTTTGTATTTTTTGTAGAGACGGGGTTTCTTCATGTTGATCAGGCTGGTCTTGAACTTCCGACCTCAGGCGAATCCACCCGACTTGGCCTCTGAAAGTGCCGGGATTACAGGCATGAGCCACCATGTCCGGACACCATCTTGAAAGTCTGAATAACTTTTAAAGAACAAGGGGCCCACAGCCTTTCCCTTTGTGAGGGGCCCTCGGCAAATTATATAGCCAGTCCTGCCAGGGGTAATAGGTTCGTCCCCGTCTATGTTGGTGTAGATTCATATAAACGCTCCCTTTCTTTCCTTGCCTAGTGGGGAATGGATTGGAAAGCCCGTGGCTGATGATAAAAACCAGCAGAGCATCTCCAGGTGTCAGATATTAGTCAAAGACCGGGCACGGAGCCCACAGGTGCTTAGCGTTCTGAAGACGTTTGCCTTCCCAGCCCCTCCAAGGAGGAATCAGTGCTGCCTGGCAGCAGCCCCCATGTGCACCTCCTTATGGCACAGCTTTCCTTGTTGCAAATCAATGCCTTCAATAATCCATTGCGGGGGCTGCAGAGAAGCCCTCTGGCGGCCACTGTGGGGCCTGTGGGCCTTCTGCCTGCTCTTCCTGATCTGGTGGAGGCCCAGAGAGGAGCTAGGACAAGGGCTGGTGCCCCCATCCACCCTACCCCCACGTACCTGCCTGCAAAAGGCCACATGACTGGGATTATGGTGGGTGAGTGCTGGAGGGAAGGCCCAGGTGAGAGGGTAGAATGTGAACGGGCTGGTTATTGACATGCGGAGGACAGGAGGGAAAACAGCTCAGCCGTAGCAGAGAAGACGGACTTCTGCAGTGGTACCTGTGGCTGCTCCCTTGGGCTCCTGAACAACCTGGGTGTGATGTCGGGAACTGGGAATGCAGCTACCTCACAAGGATAGGGGTTTGTGGGGAGAGCAGCGCGTCCGGGCCGGAAGCAGTCAGAACCACCCGTGGAGCCGGACGCTCACTGTTCTGCCCCACGTGAGCTGGGTGCCCGCTCTGGGTCAGGCTCTGTTCCAGGACTTGGATGACACAGTGACTGAAATAGACAGAACTGCTGTCTGCGATGCCCACATGAGAGAATATAATCCATGGACAACGCACTACACACATTTAAAGAGTGCAGATTGATCCGTTTTGACAGGATGTCTGTGAACCAGCTCTGCAATTAAGATGCTGACCATGGGCTGGGCTCGGGGGCCACTTTCAGAGGCCAAGGCGGGTGGATCACCTGAGGTCTGGAGTTTGAGACCAGCCTGACCAACATGGAGAAACCCTGTCTCTACTAAAAATACAAAATTAGCCAGGCATGGTGGCACATGCCTGTAATCCCAGCTACTCGGGAGGCTGAGGCAGGGGAATCGCTTGATTCAGGAAGGTGGGGGTTGCAGTGAGCCAAGATGGCGCCACTGCACTCCAGCCTGGCAACAAGA